AATGCCTATGTTTTATTTTTACGCTCCTTAAATATTGGTGTCCTGAGTAAAAACCCCAGCTATTCCACTCTACTTATAACTTTGAGTGGAAGGATAGAAGATTGTATTAGAGTGTAGCAATTTGTATATCCTTGAATTTTAGAGCTAGAAATGATCTTAGAGGTCATTGAATTTAACCCCATTACTTTACAGATGGGGAAACCAAAGCTAGGAGAAGTAAACTAATTTCCCAAAGTTAAACGAGCTTGTTAGTGGCAGAACTGAAATTAGACCCCAAATTCTCCTGACTACCAGTCCAGTATGCTTTCCTTTATCCCCAAATGTCTCTCTAATTTATATGGGGATTTGAAATTTAACTTTAATAAACCAAAGTTAAGGCCATTTATAGTTTAAGAAGAGATTTTCTATCCTTTCTCCCCCTTTCCTAATATTACATTGCCTTTACATCAGCAAAACATTTCCATAAGGCTTAGTAACATCTTAGACCTCATATTTTGTACATGTTCCATACTAAATAGAACGTCTCTTCTAAAACCTTCCCCTCTGTTTTAAAATTACTGTCAGACAAGGCAATTGATTAAGGGGTCAGTGTGGAGAGCACCATTTTGTATGTCCGGAGAGGCTTCTCCACTTCTACCTGGCCTTAATAATGCTCTCTCTGGGTGTGTCTTAGAAGGGAAAAGTTAGTCTTACCTTGAAATCGTGATACCAGCAACTGTGGGTGGAAGTTATGATGTCAAAGATTTTGGCTCAATGTAAGGAAAAAAAATTTCATAAAATTTAAAACTATCTGAATATAGAAAAGTTGGTCCTTGTGGGTGGTTCTGCCGCACTGGAGTCGATCCAGCAGAGGCTAAATGATTATTTGTTGGGTTTGTTGAAAGGATTCTGTTTGGGGACAGAGTTTATAAGATCATAGACTGAGAGTTGAAAGGGACCTTAGAGATCGTTTAGTACAACTCTCTTATTTTCCAGATGAGGAAACTGAGGCCCAGAGAGATGAAGCGATACATTTCACTGTACTCTGACTCCCTCTTTTTGGACTAGATGATCTTGGCGGTCCTTCTCGGCCCAGCCCATGGATTACTTACTGCTCCAGTATGCCTACTGGTTGAGACATGCTTAAAAAAATTCCTTGATTCTTAAGACTCCTGGAGAAATTCCAGTTAAAAATTAGGGACCTATATTCCCCTTGTGAACCTGTTTTACCTAAAATTTGTCCCAGTGGAGGGATCTCCTACTGTCAATAGAATCTGTGGCTCTTGTCTTCATCCTCACTGATAAACAGTGAAGTGTAGAACTGCTTCAGCAGTTAAAGCCAAGAGAGTCAATGCCAGATATGTAGTCATCAGTGCAGAATGTATTTGGTATAGAATATCACTGCTGTTAAGGGCTGGATGCAGTTATTTTTGCCTCCATTGCCATTAAACACACACCCAGCTGCTATGTGATTATAAAAAGTTGTTGGTCTTTGCAGTAGTTTCCCTTAATGGTTGCTGTGATTTATTACTGAAAATAGTAATTATTGGCTTATATTCTTCTAATTCCTCATTTCCATGAGTCATAGTGACAATAATGGTAATACTAATAATGAAAATAATGGAAAAATAGATCCTGTTGTAGCTTATTTTTTACCTGACCTAGCTAACCCAAGAATTTTTAATATTAATGGATTATCTTCTGCTACAAGTAAAATAATGATTGTCTGGATTTTTTAAGTGCTTTCCTCTTTAGAAAGATACGTTTGATAGAATAATTTGGAGCATGAACTTACATTCCTTCCATAGACAGATCTTACATGGGCTTTCCCTGTCAAGGGAAGTGGATTCTTGGGAAAGCTGGCAAAATATCTGGCTGGGAAATACTTCCTGGAGGGTTCTTCCAGAATGAATGAATGAAAAGCATTTATAAAGTGCTTACTCTATGCCCTGGGCACTATACTAAGTGCTGGGGTGGCCAATATAAAAAGCAAGACAATCTTTGCCCTCCAAAAGCTTGCGTGAGATAGTACGCCAGGGGAATAAGGACCAGAGAAGTGTTTGGGCTGGAAAATCATAGTGATGGTGAATAGAGCCACAGGGCAATTGATTGACTCATTCTTTCCAGGAATGGAAATGGTGATTTGATTATTGTTTCCAGAGCTAGCAGTAGAAGAGGAGTGGGATTGGGAAGAATACACAGGCAATGACTTTGAAATGAAGACGACCAGAAAGCAACATGGTGGTCTGAATCTGTGCTACATATGGAAAATTCTAAACACTCAGGAGCCCGGGGTCCCAGGGTAGACATTGGAGTGCTAGGGCAGGCACTGGAGTGCCAGGTGGGAATCAGAGGCAGTCAGGAGGTATAACATGATCAGAGAGTAGGCTTGTTAGTATCTCAGTAGGGATGACCCTGAATGTTGAGGGAATTAGTATAGTATTGAAGATATTTATGAGAGTGACCAGTTGAAAAACAAAAGAGAAAGAAATATTCCCTGTCCATATTCAATAAGTCAATCAAATAATCAGTTAGCATTTATTAAGTGATGACTACGTGTCAGATATCGTGCTAGGCACTATGAGTACAAAGTAAAAAATGAAAATTCAGTCCTTGCCCTCAAGGTTACATTTTATCAGGGAGGTAACATGTATACAAATAAGTATATACAAAATGCATACAAGGTATGTGAAGGGATGTAGTAAGTACCCTGCCAGGTAGGCTAGTTTTTTTTTTTCTTAAAAGGAATTGAAATTATCCTCAAGACATTATTGGCTCAGGAGACTAAGACTTGGGCCAAAGTAGCTTCTAGGTGGCCTAAGTACAAAAAACTATGGGCAGAAGAGGTCAGCAGCAATTCCCTCAGGTTTCTGACCAGCAGAGTGATGTGTCCAACCCAGAGGCTGGAAAGCTACACTCAACTGAATCAGTGCTGTATCCTTGCTGAATATTCCTTTCCATGCTGTGGATAACTAAACTTCCTTTTGTTAATTTGTTAATTTAGTCTAGGGAGGCTTAATTTCATTCTGAACTTGAATCTCAACCAGTCTGAGTCAGACTTGGTTTATTCTAGAAGGGGGTTCAGGAAAAGCTTCATGTGTATCCTATCTAAAGAAAAATGACAAACACGCATTTATGTAGCACCTACCTATTCCAAGCTCAGGACCAAGCATGTTCCAAATATTATCTCATTTTGCTCCCCTCATGGAGATTACATTTTACCAGGCAGGTATAACATGCCCACAGATAAGTAAATACAAGGTGGTTTGAGGAGGGAGCTCATGCTACTAACACGTGAGGAAATCAGTCAAGGCATTTAATAGGAAGTGAATCTTGACGGAAGATAAGAATTCAGAAAAGTAAAGGTGAGAAGTGAGTGTATTTCTGGCAGAGGGAATGATGAGTAAATGGTGGGAGATAAAGGTTAAATTTGAGCAACAATTAGTATGAAAGGCAAGAGAATGAACTAAGTCTGAAAAGATAGGTCAGAGGCAAATTGTGGGGTGCCTGAAAAGTGAAACTAAGGTAGTTGTATTTTATTCTGTAGGCCATGGGGAGCTGATGTGGTTTGAGAGGTTCAGGGACCTCCCAAGGATCAAAGTACAGGACAGAGTTGTCTGGAATAAATTCACAGACTCAAGCATTCTTTAAGGCAAGTTGGCAAAGGTTTATTGTAACACTGATATGGTGGGCAGAGCTCCTTAAGGGATTCTGCCCCTTAACAGGAATGATGCTAAAGCTTATGTAAGAAAAGCAGTGGATTATGTAGCAAGTATGCTAATTAGGTGATAACATACAATCTAGGTCACAGGCTTCATTCATTACTGGAAACTGGAGGTGGGGTGGGGATAGGGTTCCTAAGGGGTGTGGGTTTTTGTTTTTGTTTTTTTTTTGGTCTGTTAGGTCTGTAACAAGATAGCTTCAGGAATTGATGTTTATAACTTGACCTCTAGATTGTATACGATAACTGTTGGAATCGGTACATGATAATTTTGTTGATATAAGATGGTCTCGTTCATACAAGGGCAATTCTACAGAGGTCAGTTTGTTCTTCTAACAGGGAGAGATAGTAAGATAGTTTGCCTCACTGGGCCCACTACTGAGTTATTGCCAGAGATAGGGTCTTTGAGCTGGGGAGAAAACTATCAGGGATAGTGTTTTGAGGCTAGGGAGAAATATGGACTTGGAATCAGGGTCAGAGTATAGGCACCCAAGCACCCCATCGAAGCCATTAGAAATTTTCGCCCAGGGGAATGGCAACATGAGATCTGAGTAGCGGAAAGAGTATTTTGGCAACTGTGCGGAGGACAGATTGGAGACCAGAGACTGGAAGCTAGGAGACCAGTCAAGACGCTTGTGCAATAGTCTGGGCAAGGGTAATGGTGGAACCCGAGCTAGGGTGATGGCCCTATGAGTACATAGACAAGGATAGAGGCATTAGAGTCATTATGGAGGCAGAGTCTGTTAAAGAACAGTTTCTTTTCCATGCATTCTGTTCTGTGTGCTATGTATAGTCTGGGAATGGAGACGTAATTGAAAAATTAATGCTGTTCTTGAAGTCTTTTGGTGTTGAATTCAAGGGTCAGGAAGCAAATTTAACATCTAGATGCTTCAGAGAGAGACCACAGAAAATATTTTCAGGCTGAGTCAAGGACAGATGTCCTCTGAGATAGTTAAATGTATTTACACGAGGATACAAATGTTTATCTAGTTACTGAATTTTGATTTTATACAAGCAGAATCCTCTTGAAATATTTATTTTCTGCCCGCTCGTTTCAGGCTGTGACACCGTAATCCTACCACTTCGCCCATTATTCTCTTCCTTTGTGGTGTTTTTTTGGAGAGATTTGAGTTATGAAGGGCCTGTTTGGGGCATTTAAAAATCCTTTCCACGTTGGACTTGCAGGCCACTTGTTCTCAGCACTCTCAAAGCAACAGTGCTTGATTTCTGTTAGATTGTCATGAAGGTTTTCCTGTTCTTTTAGAAGACATCTTAATCCTAATTTCTTTTTTTTCCCTAGGTCTGGTGCTGGCATGGATGCATCGCAACCCCTATTTTGGGTCATTCTCTCAGCAGCTGCATTCTGCTCAGTCAAACCACAGATAAATGGTAATATATATTTTCTGATTGGGTTTGCATGATAATAATTATCTTGGTAATTATGTGGTGGTAGCAGCTTTTCAATGAAAAGCTGAAAAGATGGCAGCAGAATCCACAATTAACAAAATATGAAAAAAATAATTTGAAAGGTAGGATCATATATCTACATCTGGCAGGGACCTTGGAAGCCATCTCGGTCCAACCCCTTATTTTACAAATGGGAAAACCAAGGCCCAAAGAGAGACAGAACAAGACCCAAGATCACAGAGCTAATCAGAAGAAGAGCTGGGTTCAAAACTAAGACTTGTGGATTCCAAAGCCAACATTTTCCTACTATACTGCATTCCTCCCATATCTCTAGGTATCCCCCAACTAAATTGTGGATGTGTGATTTCATTTTTTTTAATACAACTGATAACTGTTAAGGTAGAAATTAACAAATGAGTCTGAAGACTTTAATCAGCACAGAAAATATATTTTGTAGACATGTTAATATGCATTTTATTTTGTTCGGCAAAACTGCTCGGAGAGTAGGAGTAGCATCTATGATTCCTGATGAGATTGATGGCTTTATCTGTAGCTGGTGATACTTTTCCACTTTTTTCATTTTAATTTTCATTTTAATAGGTTGTTGGGGCTTTTGTAAGATGAAAGGCTAATTAAGAAAAGATTGTCTGTTCATCTGTAGTTTTCCATGGATACCTCACAGAGGTTTATGTATTTGAGTACAATAATGAGTCTTTGTGGGAAAAAAATAAGCTCTGTCCAAAATAACTTAAAGCTCTCTGAATTTTGCCTTCATCTCCAACATGACAATGAACAGGAACTTTGATACTAATAGGCTTTTTATAATTAAAAAATGTGGCAAAGTAAATTAAAAAAGGGGGTAGCTATTGGGTAGAGCAGAGAAAGAAATGATGTCTGAAGGCACAGTACCTTTCTTGATGTCGCCTAGGTCTTTGTGCAAGATTGAACCAATTGACATTTGCCAAATGAGTTTTCTATGTACTGCTAAGGGGTTTTTCCTAATAACTGAGAATAAGAACCAAGGGCGTGGTAGTCTGTATTTTATTTCTTTTTAAATGGACTGTAATGAGAACTCTAGAAGGCCACTGTGCTTGTAATTTTCTCTAGTCAGCAGGGCGGTGTTCTTTCCTCTGGGCAGAAAGAAGATAGAATTGGATTCCAGTTGTAATCACTAGCCTGACTCCATTTTCCATTTTCTGTTTCCTGATGGAGGACACTACTTGGCTTTGTGAACCGCTCCTAAAATCTGTAGGATCTTGCTGAAAAAAAGCTTCCTTGAATGACCAACTGCCTTGTTAACTAATGCTAACTTTTCCACATCTTTATCTAAACATTATGTTCTTCTCCACATTCTCTTTTCCCCAGGGCCCTTAATCTTTAGGCTGCTCTTAATAGGAATGTTTAATCTTAACTATTCTGTGCATCTGTAAGTGGGATAGATTAGAGGGAATCTGGCCCAGGAGCCAGAAAACCCCAACACATCTGGTCCTGGCTCCGTGACTCACTCGCTGTCTGGCGTGGTGCAAGTGACTTTATTCATCTCTTCCATGGAAAGGACCATGGTTTTGGAATCAGAGGAAACATTCAAATTGAGTCACTTCCCTTTCCTGAGGTATCAGAGGTTGGGATTCAAACCCACTGAGAGGTGCCTCAGTTTCCTCCTCTGTGAAATGAAGGATTTGGGCTAGATATCCTTTGAGCTCTATAGACCACTATTCAGTTCTAGATCTTTGTTTTATCAGTTGTACCCCCAGCACTTAGCACGGTGCCTGGCACGTAGTAGGCACTTAATAAATGTTGATTGAATTGGATTTATTAGATGTATAATTGTTCATCTTTAAAGTGAAAGGAATTGGTAGATATGATCTGGAATCTCACTGTCTCTCAGATTCCTTTGATCTCTCACTCAATTCAATTCAACCACTATTTATTAAAAATTGACTATGTTCTAGGCCCCACGGACACAAAGACAAAATTGAAATAACCCTTGACTTCAAGGATCTTACCTTCTACAGAGGGGAACAATAAGTATGTGATTTAGTAAATGCATTTTAAAAATTACAAAATCATTTTAGGGTTAAGGTGGCAAGCAATAACAGCTGAGGGGATTTGGAAGGGCTTACCACAGAAGGTGACTCTTCGCTTACGCATTGAAGAGTGTCAGGTATTTCTACAAAATGGAGGTGAAGACCAAGAATGTTCAACACAGCCTAGGCACAGGCAATGGAGTGGGATGTCAGGCATTGACAACAGCGAGTGGGCCGGAGTGCAGAATGCATGAAGGGCAGTAACTGGGAAACAAGTCTCAAAAGGTAAGATTTTGATGAGTGAGACGCAGTGAGGTGTAGGCGCACAAGGACTTTCATACACAGTTAGGAGAGGCCTGGGTTTCAGTCCCACCTTGGACACTTCCAAGTTGTGTGGCTATGTGCAAGGCATTTAAGGTCTCTCAGGCTCCTCATCTGTAAAATGGGAGAATCGCACATATGATTCCCTGGAAGGTTGTTATGAGATTCAAGTAAGATATAATTTGCAATGTGATATACTTTTTAACTTTTGTTTCAGTCGTGTCTGGCTCCCTGTGACCCCATTTGGGGTTTTCTTGGCAAAGATACTGGAGTGGCTTGCCATTTCCTTCTCCAGCTCATTTTACAGATGAGGAAACTGAGGCAAACAGGTCACACATCTAGTTAGTGTGTGAGGCCATATTTGAACTCAGGAAGAGTAGTCCTCTTGACTCTAGGCCTGGCACTCTATCCACTGTGCCACCTACCTGCCCCAAAGTGATATATAAGGGGCAATTATTAAGAAAATGATTTTAAATTTGATTAATTCTGATCCAATTCATTATAAAATGTTGAATTCAATTGAATTGACTTTTATTAGTGTTTTTCTTTAGTATTTTTATCATTTGGATCCAGAAGAGTAATATACCTAGCGAAGAGTTTTTTGTTGTTTCCCATCTATCCAACAATCTTTCAGGGTGGAAAGATTTCAGGTATAGAGTGTGATATTGGGCAAGTCATGTAACTTCCTTGGGCCTCAGTTTCCCCATCTGGAAACATAAGGAGTTGGTTGTGGTGACCTCTGAGGGCTCTTCTAGCTCTAGTCTATGATCCTCTAATATGAGATGGTAGCATTTTGATTTTGGACTAAAACCATCCCAGGATAGTTCTTCTATTTCTCTTGTCAGCAATACTTCTTCACCCATCTTGGTGTTCTGTCTATAGTTGGCATGGGGCAGGTAGGAGGGTGGTATGGGAAAGCAGAGGGAAGGAAAGATTTTTTTCTGCCTATTCCAAGTCAGCTGACTTGAATGGCCTGGTCATACATGGCCAAGGTAGGAAAGAGAGGTCAGAGAGGGATGAAGAGGTGGGAAAAAGGTAAGTTGACCCATGTCACTTTCTCTTTTTGGCCAGCTCGATCTCTATATTTGATCCACATGTTTTGGTTTTGCATGATTTCCCTTAAAGTCACAGCCTGTCTTTTCTAGTCTGTAGGGAGGCTTCTGTCGCAGATGTTGTGTTCCTGGTGGATTCCAGCAGAGGCCCAGAAAAATCCCGAAATGTTCAAGACTTCTTGTCTACGTTGGTCAGTGGCCTTGACCTCGGCAAAGATAAAATCAGAGTAGGCCTGATCCAGTATGGTGACATGCCCAGCACAGAGTTTTCCCTCAATACCTATCAACGCAAGGAAGATGTCTTGAGGCATATCCAGGCATTGACCTTTAAACATGGTGGTGCCCAAACTGGCCGGGCCTTGTGGTTCATGTTAGAAAACCACTTCTTGGAAATAGCAGGGAGCCGGATACAGCAAGGGGTCCCCCAGCTTGCTGTGCTGATTACAGATGGACCAACACAGGATGACATCAAAGAACCAGCTGAGGCGGTCAGGAAGGCAGGTGTCCTGCTGTACGCCATTGGCCTCCAAGGCTCTGTTTTTTCTGAGCTCAGGGAAGTAGCCAGCGATCCTGATGACAAGTTTATCTTTGAGGCAGCTGACATCTCTTTCCTAGGTGACCTTTCCCAAAATGTGTTGCTGGCACTCTGCACCACGATAGTGGAGGCGAATCTACAGGGATCCCAAGTCTCTCCAGGTAGTCCCTTAAATATTTCCTGCTTTCTTCTTCCCCTTTCCCCACTTAGAGAATCTCAGAGAATGAGGATAATGACAGCCAGCATTTATATAGCATTTTAAGGTTTTCAAAGTGCTTTATCTATGCCGTTATCTTATCTGAAGAAGTTGTAATTCATTGGACGTGCATCCAGTAGACATTTAGTGAGCTCTTATTTTTGTGTAAAACCACCATGCTAAGGGGCAGCTAGATGGTGCAATGGATAGGGTACTGGCTCTGGATTCAGGAGGACCTGAGTTCAAATCTGGCCTCAGACACTTGACACTTACTAACTGTGTGACCCTGGGCAAGTCACTTCACCCCATTGCCTTTCTTTTTTTTAATTTTAATTTTTTTTATTTTTAGACAGTTGGGGTGAAGAGACTTGCCCAGGGTCACACAGCTAGTAAGTGTCAAGTGTTTGGTCTGAGGCTGGGTTTGAACGCAGGTGCTCCCATTGCCTTTCAAAGGAAAAAAAAAAGTAAAAAATTAAAAGCACCATGCTAGGTACTGAGGTTGCAAAGATGCTTGCTGGGAGAGCTGTGCAGGGGGCTCTGCTTCGGGCCTGGGCTGTACAAGATGGCCTCTGAGGTCCTTTTCCCCTCTGACATACTGTGTTTCTGTGATCCCTGTTCAAGACTCTTTCACCAGAGAGTCGGTGGAATAGCCTGAGAAGTGGCTAGGCTACATGGCTGATAGACTACTGGCTTTGAAGTCAGCAAGACCCAAGTTCAAATCCTGCTTCCAGCACTTAATATCTATGTAACCCCGCTCTTAAGAAGCTTAGAGGAGGTGAAGGACAAGTACACAGATAACTGTGGTTCAAGGGAGAGGGATTCAGGTGCTTTGGAGAGTGCCACAGCTACATGGGCAGTGGATAGAGCGTTGGGCCTGGAGTCAGGAAGACTCATCTTCCTGAGTTCAAATCTGGCCTCAGACACTTACTAACTGTGTGACCCTGGACGAGTCACTTCACCCTGTTTGCCTCAGTTTCCTCATCTGTAAAATGAGCTGGAGAAGGAAATGGCAAACCATTCCAGTGCTTTTGCCAAGAAAACCCCAAATGGGGTCACCGAGAGTCAGACGCAACCGAAGCAATACAACAACAGGAGAGTGTTACAGCTATGAGAAGTGTGATGAGGTATAGAGCTCGTTAAATGGGGCTGTGGGTGGGAGGAGATAAGGAGGGCTTCATGGAGGAGTGGTTTCTGAGTTGGGTCTTGAAGGACTGGAGAGACATCAGTAGAAAGTCACTATAGACACCAAGGATGGAACGAACAACAGCCCAAGGAGGAGGGGGGAATAAGCATTTATTAGGTGGCTGCTTTGTGCCGGGCACTGTGCTATGTGCTTTGCAAATATCTCATTCAATTCTCATAACAGCTTTGGCAGACAAGTACTTTTGTTGGCTCCATTTTACAGTCGAGGGAGTTGAGGCAGACAGAGGTTAAGTGATTTGCCCAGAGTCACACAGCTAGTAAGTGTCTGAGGCTGAATTTGAACTCAGGTCTTCCTGACTCCAGGTCTAGCAGGCTATCTGCCTCTAGGATGAGAGAAGGCAGGACGTGGAGGGGGGAATGGACCACAGTCCAGTCTGGCTGGAACGTAGTGTGAGGGTCATAGTCCGAGATAAGACTGGACAGGTAAGTTGGGGCCGGATCGCTTTACCATCGTCCGCTGGGTTACAGTTAAAAAGTGCTTTCCTGTGCATTTGGTCCTCATCCTGGCACGCTTGAGAGTCATGACTTGGAAGGAATCTGATCCACCCCCTCATGTTTACAGATAGGGAAATTGAGGCAAAGCGAGGCTAAGACAGTTGTTCAGAGTCGCGCAGCTCTGAGTCATCAGGTCTGAGAACGTTCACTTTGTGCTATTGCTGTTCCCCCTTCCCCCTCTCTCCAACCCCAGCCTGCAGAAAAGCGGGGGCTGCTGACTTGGTCTTCCTGGTGGACAGCTCCACAAGCATAGGCCCTGGTAACTTCCAGAAAGTGAAGAGCTTTCTCTACTCGTTGGTGTCGGGCCTGGAGATTGGCAGGGACCAGGTCCGGGTCGGGCTGGCCCAGTTCAGTGATAACATCTACAAGGCCTTTCTGCTCAATCAGTTCCCTCGGAAGAGCGACGTGCTGGAGCAGATACGGAATCTCCCCTACCGGACTGGAGGCACCCGGACGGGAAGCGCCTTGGACTTCCTCAGGCTCGCCTATTTCACCGACTCAGCGGGCAGCCGGGCCAAGGACGGCGTCCCCCAGGTAGTGATCCTGGTGACGGACGGGGAGTCTAACGACGAGGTGGCTGAGGCGGCCAGCAAGCTTAAGGAAGGGGGTGTGTCGATCTATGTGGTGGGAATCAATGTCCAGGATGTCCAGGAGCTGGAGACAATAGCTAGCAAGCCCTTGGAGAAGTTCCTTTATAGCATCGAGGATTTCAACATCCTCGAAGGTCTCTCTGGCAACATCCTTCCTACCCTGTGCTCCGCGGTTGAGAACCAGATCCAAGGTAAGCATCTCCCCCCGTCACCAGGTCGGTCCCAGGCAAGAGACGAAATGTACGGCTTTGTCTTTGGGAACCTCCAGCTTCCTCCCCCTGTCTCTCTTCTTTCGGTCTCTCTCTTTTTCTGTCTCTGTCTCTCGTCTCCCTCTCTCTGTCTGTCTCATCTCCCTCTCTCTCTCTGTCTCTCTCTGTCTCTCTTTCTGTCTTTCTCTGTCTCTAGGTTTCTCTCTCCCTGACTCTGCCTCACTCTTTCTTCACAAACTGTGATATCTAGCCCTTCATGTTTCCATCTTTTCAACTTCCCATCGCCATATGATCTAAATGACTGATATCAGTTTACTTAGGATAATAGATTTATTTATTTATTTTAATATTTTCATTGTTCCCAATTACATGGAAAAGCATTTTTAACATTCTCTTGTCAAATTTTGGGTTCCAAATTCGCTCCCTTGCTCCCCCTCCATGGAGAAGGCAAACAATTTGACATAGGTTGTACGTGTTTAGTCATGCAAAATACATTTCCATGTTTGTGATGCTGTGAAAGAAAACACAGACAACCCTCCCTCAAGAGAAATAAAGTAAAGAGAAAGTATCTTTGATCTTCATTCGGGCTCCACCCCTTGTTGCTCTGGAGATGGACAGCACTTTTTACCACAAGTCCTACAGAATTGCCTTGGATCATTGTATTGCTGAGAATAAGTCATTTACAGTTATCATTATACAACATTGTTGTGACTGTATCCAATGTCCTCCTGGTTCTGCTCGCTTCACTTTGCATCGATTAGGGTCGTAGATTTACAGCCAGAAGGGACCTTAGAGCCCGGTCCCGTCATTTCATAGATGAGGAAACAAGATGAGAGGGGTTCGGTAACTTGCCCAGAGTCACACAGCTAGTAAGCGTCCAAGGCAGGATTTGAACTCGGGTCTATATTGACTCCAAGCCCCATGTTCTGTTGACTGTGCCGCCTCGTGACCTCTATAGCTATTTCACAGCATTGCAGGATTTCAGGTGACGGGGTCCTCAGGCATCATATAAACAGGGATCACGGAATCGCAGAATCACAGAATGTCAGAATTGGAATGGCAGCCCAGACCTGAAGAAGAATTTCCTCTCCAGCATCGCCACCAAGTAGTTAGATTTTTACTTGGAAAGCGTACATGAGGGAGACATCCACCATTACCCAAGACAGTCCATTCCATTCTGGGATAGCGGGCATTAATAACAATAATATCTAACATTTATATGGCCCTTTAAGGTTTGCAAAGTGCTTTACAAATATCTCATTTGATCCTCACTAAGAGGTAGATTACTATCCCCGCTTGGCAGATGAGAAAACTGAGGCAGATAAGAGTTTAAGTGACTTGTCCAGAGTCACACAGCCGGTAAGTATCTGAGGCAGGATTTGAACTCAGATCTTCCTGACTCCAGGTCCATGGCTCTATCCCCTGTGTCACTGACTTTAGGAAGGTTTTCTTCACACCAAACCTAAATCTGTCTGTTTGCAGTTTCCACCCCTTGTTCCGGTTTCTGCTCCTTGGGTTCTAGTAGAACAGATCTGATTCCTATGGATAGATCGGTCTGTAATTTAGCCATGCTTGGTCCTTGCCCACTTCCGTGGCTGGCCAACTCTTACCTTCTGCCCTGCTAACCCCTGTGCCTCACAACCACAGTCTGACAGGTGAAAGTCCTGCTCATCTTTTCCCTTGTCCTCCATATTTATCCTTACCCAGCTGTGTCCCTCCGCTGCTCTGCTCGTGTCTTCATCTACACCTGTTGGCATCATTTTGTTTTATTGTTCCAAAATCTTCTTCTTCTTCTTCTTTCCTCTTGTCTTCTTTCCATCTCTTGGAGCTCCTAGAAATCTTGCTTTCTCCTGAAGACGCCTCATCCCTCTCCATTTTCTCAGGTGCTGACCCCTTCTATTGTGCTCCCTGACACTCAGGGAAGGAGCATGAGCTGGTGTGCTCCGTGTTACCCTTGCCGCTTGTAGACCCACTCTCTGCCACCCTCTCTCAGTAATCTCTGCCAGCCAATGTTTACTAAGCAGGCAGGAGCAGTCAAGAGCCGGCCTTGCAGTCACAAGTCCTGGGTTCAAGTCCCACTTCTGACGGATGCTGGCTGTATGATCATGGCCAAGTAGGCGGCCTCTTGCAGTGTGGATAGAGTGTTGGACTTTGAGTGAGGAAGACCCAAGTTCAAATCCTGACTCAGACTTTCCTTTAGCTGTGTGACCACAGGCAAATTGCCTAACCTCCATGAGCCTCAATTTCCCCATCTGTGAAATGGCACCTACCTTGTAGGGTTGTCATGAAGACCAAATGAGATAATGTGGAAGTGCAACATCTGAAGTGCTACATAATGCTGGTTAGGATTAGTGACGTCTCTGGTGATTCTGTAAAGGAGCAAGGGCTCATCCTCTTTGCTGGCTGGGAGTTTTCTCATTGGGAGTACTCTACACAGGTGAAATCACAGATTGAGTTTCTGCCTCCCAAAAAGGTGCCAGGTTCTACAGATTTTTTTGTTGTCATTCAGTTGTTTCAAACTCTTCATGACCCCATTTGGGATTTCCTTGGCAAAGACACTGGAGTGGTCTGCCATTTTCTTCTCCAGCTCATTTTTACGGGTGAGGAAACTGAGGCAAATAGGGTGAAGTGACTTGCCCAGGGTCACACAGCTACCAAATATCTGAGGTTGGATTTGAAATCGGGTAAGATAAGTCTTCCTGACTTCATGCCTGGCACTCTATTCACTATGGCACCACATAGTTGCCCAGACCCTACAAAGGTGTAAATTAAACAGTCCCTGCACTCAAAGAGGGAGAAAAAAATCATTGTTGTATATATGTTAATATGTTATTAAAGCTTAAAATTACACTAAGACTTTTAGGACACTGTAAATATTGTCTGTCTCTCTGTCATCCATCTATCCGTCCAACTAGCTACCCATCCTTCTCCTCTGCCTTCATTTCTTCTTCTTCTTCTTCTTCATCTTCTTCCTCTTTGTCTTCTTCCTCTTCTTCGTCTTCTTCCTCTTCTTCTTCTTCCTCTTCTTCTTCCTCTTCTTCTCCTTCTTCCTCTTCTTCCTCTTCTCCTTCCTCTTCTTCTTCTTCCTCATCTTCTTCCTCATCTTCTTCCTCTTTGTCTTCTTCCTCTTCTTCTCCTTCTTCCTCTTCTTCTTCTCCCTCCTCTTCTTCTCCTTCTTCCTCTTCTTCTCCCTCCTCTTCTTCTTCTTCCTCTTCTTCTTCTCCTTCCTCTCCTTCTCCTTCTTCCTCTTCTTCTTCCTCTTCTTCTCCTTCCTCTTCTTCTTCTTCTTCGTCTTCGTCCTCTTCCTCTTCTTCGTCTTCTTCCTCTTCTTCTCCTTCTTCCTTCTCATCTTCTTCTTCCTCTTCTTCCTCTTCTTCTTCTCCCTCCTCTTCTTCTCCTTCTTCCTCTTCTTCTCCCTCCTCCTCTTCTTCTTCTTCCTCTTCTTCTTCTCCTTCTTCCTCTTCTTCTCCTTCTTCCTCTTCTTCTTCCTCTTCTTCTTCTCCTTCTTCCTCTTCTTCCTCTTCCTCCTCTTTTTCTTCCTATCCTCTCCCTCTCTTCCCTTCTCTCCCTCCTCCTCCTCCTCCTCCTCCTTCTTTTTCTGCCTGTGTGACCTTGGCCAACCACATATGAGGTCCAGGGGAACTAATACTGAATCAAGAAAGAATCAAAACACTGAGTTCAAATCATGCCTCTGATCGTTACTCCCTGTGTGAGAGTGGAGAAGTTGCTTGACTTCAGTTTCGTCATCTATAAAATAAGTGGGCTGGACTAAGAGACCTTTGCGGTTCCATTCAGCTATATGTCTATGATGATGCTCCCTATGTCTTTCTTTCCTCATCTATAAAATGGGATAGTTATAGCACCTGCCTCTCAGGGTTGTTTTGAGCATCAAATGAAACAATGAATATAAACTATTTTGCGAACCTTATGGCTTTATAGAAATGTCGCACTTGTTATTGATGTCTATGTATGACTTTGTGATGTATGTAGGTCCTGGCTCTATACATCCTGTAGAATAGAATTCCCTGCTTATCTTCCCATATCTTCACATTTGAAATGTGATTGTTATCTTAGGACTGGGAATGAGAAAAACCAGTTGCAAGTCAGCTGTTTGAATCTTGAATTCACCCACTATAAGGCTATGTAAAGCCTTATTGGGATTTTAGAGCTGGTCATGGCAACGTTGTCCATGAGACTGCTCATTTCCTAGGCTTAGGGGAATGGTAAAAACTTGTTACAGAAACATTGAATTTCTGCTAAGGAATCAGAATGTCTACAAATAATGACTCAGCTCTCCAGAGTCCATTTTTAAAAGCTGGCACAGTCATAAGCAACCATCTCAAGTTACCTCACCTCTCAGGGCCTCAGTTTCCTCATCTGTAAAATGAAGGAGTTGAACTGGATGGTCTCAGAGGTTCCCTTCTGCTCTATAGCTGTGATGGAATGTAAGCTCATTGAGGGTAAGAGACTGCTTTATTTTTGACTTTGTATCTGCAGTACCTAAGCCAGTGCCTGACACCTAATAGTTGACACTTTATGAATGCTTTTTCATCAATTTATAGGTGGATCCTATTATCAATGATTAAAACAGTACCATGCACATAGCGTGCATTTAATAAACCTTTCCTGAGTGAAATCAAGTCAGTCAACAAGCTGTAACTGAGTGCTCTCCAGGTGCCTAATATCTCCCATCACGAGAGAGAGTAAGGTTTGAAGAATGCTTTTCTCACAACAACCCTGTGAACTAGGTAGGATAAGTATTACGATGCCTATTTTACAGGTGAGGAAACTAAGGCTCTCTTACTGTTTTAATGGTTTTGAGAAGTTAAGCCGCAATCAGAGTTGAGACTCGGTAGCAATGAACGTGTTCTAATGCTAAGGCTTGAGCTCCTGTCCCTCTGCTGTCCCATCTCTTGTGCTTGATACTGTTGTTGGTCATTCCATGCCACTCTTTGTCATGTCTTCTCTTAAGTAAGCTACAGGGAGTCTACCCAATGTGCTGAGGGCCCTTCCTTAATTTTTCTTGACATCATAAGTATTCCAATGGAGCAGGAAGGACCATCCCTTGTTTATTCCTTTCTCTCACCACATAACTAGTCTGTCTTATTTCTCTATCATATATCTCTTTGATGACATCCTTTACTACAGTTCTGCTGTGCAGGTATACCAAAGAAATGTACCATGGCCTTTGCCCTCAGAAAGCTTACAATGCAGACTGAAGAGCTAAGATATGATGGTAAAAAAATGAGAGAACAAGATCATTTATGATAAAGTGCAGCATAGATGGCGGATGTAACTGCAAGAGGAGTAGAGAAAGAAGAGATTGGTGAGAGCTGGATCATCAAGGAAGGTTCAAAGAGGAAGCAGGATTTGAGGACACGTAAAGGAGGAGATTCTCATTCTTGTATGGATTTGACCAAGTCATCATAATAGCTCATATTTCCATAGGTCTTTGAGGTTTACAAAATGCTTTCCTTATAACAACCCTATGAGATTAGTAGTACAAGCATTACTGACTCCATTTTACAAACCGGGAAATGGAGAAATGGAGCAAGTGTAGTTGCTCATGCTCAAGCCTTATTTCTTCCATCTGAATTTCTCAGGAAAGATAGTCCTTCTGTTTAGTTATTGTGAGAACCTGTTTTTCATGTTTATTATGCTTTTTTTCTCCCTCTTCTACCTCCTACTCTAGCATTCACCAAGTCCTATGCTGATGTGGTCTTCCTTGTGGATACCTCAAAGGGCACGTCACCAGCCACTTTTCATCAGATGAAAAGTTTTATTTTCAGAGTCATTGACACGTTGGAGGTTGGGCATGACAAGTACCGGATTGGGCTGGCCCAATATGGTCACCAAGGTCATGTTGAGTTTTTGCTCAACACCTATCGGAACCTAGATGAGGTGATCATCCACATTCAGCAGAATTTCCTGCTCCGAGGAGGTGCCAGGAAGACAGGAAATGCCCTTCAGTATATACAGGAGACTTTTTTCCAGGAGAAGGCAGGGAGTCGTTTCCTCCAAGGCATCCCTCAGTATGCAGTGGTTATCACTTCTGGTCATTCAGAAGACTTGGTCTTCGAAGCTGCTCAGAAGCTTAAGGGGAGGGGAGTGAAGATCATGGCAGTTGGTATTCAAAACTTTGACAGAAGAGAACTAGAGAGCATGGTGACTCCTCCCCTTGTGTTTGAGATTGAGGGACAAGATGGGGTCAGGCAACTTCAGCAGGATATGAGCCAAGAGTTCGAAAGCTCTGGCCGTTTGGACCTCAGTTCGGAGATGGACGAAGAAGCCTTAGCAGGTATGGCATGTTCTTTGGGGTAAAAGGAGATGTTCACATCCAGTGGGTCAAGTACCTGCTAGTAGGAGAGCTAAGGGATGTCACGAAGATCATTTTTAAAGATTGAGATGCCTTGCTTTTAACAAAATCAATGCAGTGGTGCCTTGATTCACACATTCTCTGGGAACAGAGTACTTTCTAGTAAAAAGTGTCTCAGCATAGGAAAGTTTGGGGAAATTTGTGGTTTTGGTCCTGAGTCAGAAGAAGAAAGGGCTGAGGAGGAAGAGACTACAGTTGGCTAGCCTTTGCAGGTCTCTCCAGGTTTGGGCAGGACCACACAGTTGAATCAAATCATGAAGACATTTGGGAGGTTCTGTGTTGGCTATAGTTGTGGAGGCCTTTTCTGACACTTGGTGGCAGGGAGGGATTCAGTTCCAAGATGGAGGAGGGGGTGGGAATGGTGCCCTAATTTCCGATGGGATGGGAATATGCATGATGGAAAGCATTTTTATACTTTACATGTTATTTTTCTCTCAGGCAATGAAGTTCCATGAATACATTCTGTATTGTGTAGAGAAATGAAAAAAATCTCTATTGATACTAAGGATAAATTGGGGGCGATAATTCATTTTAATTTTAATTATCATTTTAATAAATTTAAATTTAATTCGTTTAAGTTTTAAGAAGAGGATTCACAATGGGTTTCCTTTAATCAGAAAGTTTCTGTAGTATATTTAAACATGATTTGATTTATAATACTTTTACTTACAACTTCTTTGAATATTTATTTCATAACATGTCCAAAAATAAAAAAAAGAAGAAAAGGAAAAAAAGACAAAACATGTTTCAATTTATACTCTGAGTCCTTCAGTTCTCTGTCTGGAGGTGGATAACATGTTTCACCCTTTTTTTTTCAATCCTTTGGAATAGCAGTGGGTCATTGTGGTGATCAGAGTTCCTAAGTGTTTCAAAAGTGTTTATATCTACAATATTGTTGTTATTGTATAAATTATTTTCCTGGTTCTGCTCATTTCATTTCGAATCAGTTTGTACAACTTTTCCTTGGTTTTTGTGAAACCATCCCCTTCATAATTTTTTACAGCACCATAGTTTTCTAACCCCTCCATATAACATTGCTTATTCAACCATTCTTCAACTGATGGGCACCATTCAATCTCTTCTTTGCTGCTACAAAAAGAGCTGCTTAAAATGTTTTTGTACATATGAATCCTTTTCCTTTTTCCTTGATTTCTTTGGGGAATAAACCTAGTTGTTGTATATCTGAATCAAAGAATGTGCACAGTTTAATAACTTTTTTGGCTTAGTTCCAAATGTCTTTCCAGGATAACTGGACCTATCTGCCAATAGTACAGTACCTGTTTTCCCACAGCCTCTCCAGTATTTGTTATTTTTCTTTTTTGTCAACTTTGCCAATCTGATGGATATGAGGTGGTACCTCAGAGTTATTTAAATTTGCACATCTGTAATTATTAGTAATTTTTCATTTTAAGGAAAGCCTCATATATTCCTATTCTTCCTGGTGTTTTTTTTTTAACATGAAGGGGTATTGTGTCTTGTCAAAAGTTTTTTTCGCATCTATTGATATAATTACATGATTTTGGTAATTTTTTATTCATTTGGATAATTATGTTTATAGTTTTCCTAATGGTGAACCAATCCTTCATTCCTGGTTTAAATCCAGCCTGATTATAGTATATAACCTTTGTGATATGTTGCTGTAGTTTCTTTTCTAATATTTTATTTAATTTTTTTTGCATCAGTGTTGACTAGAGAAATTGGTCTATAGTTTTCTTTCTCTATTTTGACTCTTCTAGTTTAGATATCAAGTCTGTATTTGTGTTATAGATGGAATTTGGTAGCACTTCTGCATTCCTCATTTTTTCTTAACAGTTTATGTGGTATTAGAATTGTTCTTTAAATGTTTGGTAGGATTCATTCATCTGTACATTTATCTGGTCCTGTTTATCTTTTTTTTCCCATTGGAAATTCATTTATGGCTTGTTTCATTTATTTTTCCATTATAGGGTTTTATATGTATTCAATTTCCTGTTCTGCTATTCTGGGAAATATATTTTTATAAATATTTATCTATTTAGATCAGTTTTATTGGCAAATAATACAAGAAAATAGCTCCTAATAATTTCTTTTCCCCTAATTGTGAATTTACACTTTTCACTTTTGATACTGGCAATTTGGTTTTCTTCTTTCTTCTTTTATAAAAATCAAGTTAGCTAATAGCTTAGCTATTTTATTGTTTTTTTAAAAAGCTTTTTAGTTTTATTTAATAATTAAATGGCTTTTTTTTTGCTTTCAATTTTGTTAATTTCTCCTTTTATTTTTAGGATTTCTGTTTTAATGCTTAATTAGAAGTTTTTAATTTATTGGTTTTCTGTCTTTTTAAAAGTTGTATGCCTAATATATTGATCTACTCTTTCTCTCTTTTATTGATGAAAGTGTTTAGACATATAAAAATTTCCCTAAGTATTGCTTTGGTTGCATCCCAGAAATTTTGTCATATTGTCTCATTGTTGTCATTATCTTTAATGACACTATATGTTATTTCTATAATTTATTCTTTGATCTACCCATTTTTTAGGATTATTTAGTTTCTAATTAGTTTTTAATTTTTGCTTCAAAAGCCCTTTATTTAATGTAATTTCATTGTATTTTGGCTCATAAAAGATGCTTTTTTTCTGTTTTTTTTTTTGGCATTTGTTTATGAGGTTTTTGTGTCATAATACATGGTCAGTTTTTGTGAAGTCATCATACATAGATGAGATATACGTATACTCCTTTCTCTTCCCATTCACTATTCTCCAGAAGTCTATTGTATGTAATTGTCTAAAATTCTATTCAAGTCCTTCATTTCTTTCCTTGTTTATTTTTTGGTTAGATTTATCTAGGTCTGAGAGGGGTAAATTGAAGCCCCCCATTATTATAATTTTAATGTCTATTTCTCCCTATAACTCATTTAACTTTTCCTTTAAGAATTTAGATGTTACAGCATTTGGTGCATATATGTTTAGTACTGATATTAATTCATTGTCTATGGTACCTTTTAGCAAAATATAGTTTCCTGGTTTATCTCTTTGTAGAGGTAAATTATATGTATTTTTTGCTTTTATCTTGAAATCGTGATTGCTATTTCTACCTTTTTAACTTTAGCTGAAATATAGTAGATTCTGCTCCAGCTCATTATTTTACCTGTGTGTATCTTTCTGTTTCCACTGTGTTTCTTGCAAACAACATATTGTTGGACTCTGATTTCTAATCCATTCTGCTATCCTCTTTCATTATGTGACTCTCGTACCCAGAGATAGGTGGGTTCTGTTGTTGGGATGAGATCCTGGAAGCAGGGTATCAGTAATAATATAGAAATGAAATGATACAGGCCTGGACTAAGGTAAAGGAGAGGAAGGGGTGAACCTGAGAGACATTTTGAAAGAAGAACATGTAGACCTTGATATGGTAGATTCTACTCAAGAAATGAAGTCAAACGTAGAGAAACTAGAAGGTTATATAAAGGCACATTCTTATTGATTTTCCAGATATTAAGAGTCTATATGAGTGATGTGGGTATGGTTCAAGGTGGAAATTTTTAAGGATTATGTATTGGATGTGTATCACCTGTAGTTACCTTCCTTGCCTTAAAAGAGGAAAAAAGGATTGGACCTGCTTCTAAAGCATCAAATACATGTCATGTGTTCTAAACCATCATTTTGTGTGGGTGAGGATCATAGCAGTAATTATCATTGTTCTTACTTGAGCCCGTAGGTGACTTATCATTTCTGGCTTTTTGCTTTTAGTGTGTACGAGTGCCTCCGTGGCTGACATCGTGTTCCTTGTTGAGGCATCCGGTGGAATTGGGTTAGAAAACTTCCAGCGAGTTATACAGTTCCTGGGGAAAGTTATCCGCACTCTACATATTGGCCCCAACAGCGTCCGAGTTGGCCTGGTGCTTTACAGTGATGAGCCGAGGCTCGAGTTTGGCCTGGACACGTTCCGGAGCCAATTGGAAATCTTGAGTCACTTAAACAAGTTGCCATTCATAGGTGGCAAGACCAAGACAGGAGCTGCTCTGGACTTCCTCAGGAACACTGTATTCACCCAGGAGAGGGGCAGCCGGTCTGGACAAGGCATTCAGCAGCTTGCTGTGGTTATCACAGAAGGCTATTCCCAGGATGAGGTGGACGGACCGGCTTCTCTCCTCCGACGGGCTGGGGTCACGCTCTTTGCTGTGGGCACCCAGAAGGCTTCAGGAAGCAGTGACCTGGACAGAATAGCATCCTACCCAGCTCGGAAGCATGCCATCTACCTGGAGTCATTCCTGCAGCTCTCAGTGGTCAGGGACAGGATAAAGAAACGTTTGTGCACAGAGATTGTGCAGAAAACCTTTTCAGTTCCAGTGGTGAGCCGTACCCTGAAAGAAGGTAAGAAGCATCCCTTGGACCTCTCTCCCCTTCTGTCTCTTCCTTCCTTCCTTCATCTTTCCTTCCTTCCTTCCCTCCTCTCCCCCTTCCTTCCCTCCTCTCCCCTTCCTCCCTTCTTCCTTCCTTAATCTTTCCTTCCTTAATCTTTCCTTCCTCCCTCACATCCTTCCTTCCTTTCCTTCCTTCCTTCCTTCCTTCCTTCCTTCCTTCCTTCCTTCCTTCCTTCCTTCCTTCCTTCCTTCCTTCCTTCCTTCCTTCCTTCCTTCCTTCCTTCCTTCCTTCTTTCTTTCCTTCCTTAATCTTTCCTTCCTTCCTTCCTTCCTTCCCTCCTTTCTCCCCTTCCTTCCCCCCTCCCCCCTTCCTCCCTTCTTCCCTCCTTCCTTCCTTCCTTCCTTCCTTCCTTCCTTCCTTCCTTCCTTCCTTCCTTCCTTCCCCCCTCCCTTCCTTCTCCCCCTCCCCTTCCTCCCTTCTTCCTTCCTTCCTTCCCTCTTTCCTTCCTTCCCTTCCTCCTTCCTTCTTTCTCACTCTCTCCCTTCCTCCTTTCACATTCCCCTCTTCTATTCCAAGTATCTCTTGTAATCCTTGTAATATCAGACTGAGAGTTTTAAGGGATCTCAGAGGCCACCCAGACCATTGCCCTAATTCTGCAGATGAGAAGACTTGAGACACAGGGAGGTGAGGGTGACTTGGTCCCATTTACACAGTAGGTAGCAGAACTGAGCTTCGTACTGAGGTCCTTCAGCTCCAGAGCAGGGCTTTTCCAATATATGCAGCCTCTCCATCACAGACGGTTGTGAGCTTTGCACCTCTTAGTTTTGTGAAGAACATATCTTGCTTCTCCATATAAGTGCCTAAAGGATCTGTGATTTCATCAGTGTGGGGGAAGTTCTGGTACCCCTTCCCCTAATGCAGATCACCAGCCATTTAAAACTTAGTAATAGATTCTAGGGAGTCACACAGAGAAATGAGAAATGGGTACATGGGAAGTGAAGAGGGCAGAACCCTAAAAAACCTGCCTGCGGGGCGCAGGCTAGAATTCTCTGTGCTGCTTGACCACAAGAGGCAGGCATGATGCTCTGCAAAAGTGCTGCGACTTCTTCCTCCCTCGTAGGCAAGATGTGTCGTAGTGCAGCGTACTTAAAGGGGTCCTCACTTACAGCAGGAAGTCCCTGTTCTCACAGGGCTGCCATCAATAGGGCACACGCTGTGAGCTTTGCTGGGCCATAGCAGGGAACGTCGGGTCTGAGGAAAGTCATGGCCAGTAAGAGCACAGCTTTCATTCTGCCCATTCTTTTCATCATCATCATCGTCAAGGTCACTCACATTTGTATCCATCACATTTCAGGGTTTACCAAATTCTTTCTCCTGGCCTCCCTGTAAGGGGCAGAGAGTGAAAATAATCATCTCCCCTTAAGATGCAGTATGGCACAGTAGGAAGAACCCTGGCTTTAGAATTGAGAGATCTTGATTCGAGTCCTTCCCTGTGTGACCTTAGGAGGGTCGCTAAACCTCTTTGGGCCTTCCTTTCCTCTTCGCTAAAATGAGGGGTTGAACTGGATGATCCCTGAGGTCCTTTCCAGCTCAAAATCAATTTTCCCATTTTACATATAGGAAAATTGATGTTCAGAGAGTGACTCAGCTATGGCCACATGGCTAGTTAATATTAGAGTTAGGATTCACTCTTAGGTCTCTGGCCTGATCCAAGTCTCTTTCTCTTGTACCATGCTGCCTCTTCATCATCTACTCCTACATGAAAACGCTTAGGCAGTCATGGAATATAAGCTTCTTGAGGGCAGGAACTATTTCATATTTGTCCTTGTATCTCCGGTATCTAGCCCAATGCCTGGACCATAGTACGTGTTGATAGACTGATTTCTTAGGCTCCCTGTAGCGTTTTTGACTATGTCTGTGTTCTCATTGACTAGGTTGCATAAACACGGAGGAAGCAGATATCTATTTTCTCATTGATGGGTCAGGCAGCATAGTCCCTGAAGACTTTGAGGAAATGAAGACATTCATGAACCAGCTGATAAGTGTGTTCCATGTTGGTGCAGACAAAGTACGGTTTGGGGTTGTCCAGTACTCAGACTATTCCCAAACTGAGTTTGACATCAGCCAGCATGCCAGTGTGGCCCAGCTGACAAGGGCCATCACAAACATACAGCAGATGGAAGGTGGCACCCATACGGGAGATGCCCTGAGATTCATGAAGCATCTTTTTTCAAATATTACCAGGGACAAAGTTCTTCGCTTTCTCATTGTCATCACTGATGGGAAGTCCCAGGACCCAGTGGCTCAGGCTGCAGAGGAACTGAGGCAGAAAAATATCACCATCTATGCCATTGGCATCAAATCTGCTGTCACCGAGGAGCTTGTTGAGATCTCTGGCTCAGGAAATAGGATGTTTTTTGTGAATGACTTTGATTCCTTAAAGTATATTCAGCAAGAGGTCATACAGGACATCTGCTTCTCAGAGGGTAAGGGAGATGAGGGGGTCCCACATCATCTGCATCATCCACAACAGGGTGGACATTTACACTGCTTGAATATGTCCCATTTTCAATCTGACTTACAGATGGGGAGAATAAGTTAGGTCACCATGGAACTTAGAGAGTTATGGTGATCCATGGGGAGTCAAGAAGCACACATTTTATGGTCTTGTCTTGTGTCCACCAAGACGTGGTCACACAGTGCTGTATCAGCTTGGGAAAGGGATGGGCTATGCCTTGTACACCCTAGTGGATTTACAATTTCAGAAGAGCTGGTACATTTTCTACCTAAGCTGCCACATTGCTAGGGGTAGGGAGTGTATTCCACTAAATGTATTCAGACATTAAATGTTCCTTTTTCCTTTTACATTTTCCCAGTGTGTAAGGATATGAAAGCAGACATTGTTTTCTTGGTCGATGGCTCTGAGAGGGTCCGCTCCAGAGATTTTGAAAAAATGAAGGAATTCATGAGGCAGGTGGTAAACAAGTCAGACATTGGCCCTGAGAAAGTACAGATTGGCCTCTTGCAATTCAGTTCAAGCACCAAGGAAGAGTTCCAGCTCAACACATACTTCTCCAAGGTGGAAATTCTTAGGGCCATCTCTGCTATGGTACAAATGAAAGCAGACAACTATCTGGGGAGTGCCCTGTCCTTCACTTCTCCTTACTTTGATATGCCAAGAGGAGGAAGACCTAATGTACCCCAGTATTTGATCCTAATCATTGATGGGGAAGCCAAGGATGCTGTGCAAATGCCAGCCAAGGCCCTCAGAGATAAAGGAATCAAGATCTTTGCCATTGGAGCACATAAGGCCAACAACTCCCAGCTGCTGGAGGTCACGGGTGCCCAGGACAAGGTGTATTATGATGATAACTTTGATTCCCTCCTTTTCTTGGAGAAGGAAATATTTTTTAGGCTCTGTAATACGGAGGAGGGTGAGTGACAGTGAACCTCTGTTTTGTGTGTTTGTTTTTAAATTCAGACATGAAACATGTGGAGGATACGTGCTGGGTTTAATTGGATTGAAGAGTCTCCTGTAGTTCTGTGCCAAGTGTTGTGTGTGTGTGTGTGTGTGTGTGTGTAAGTGTGAGAGAGAAAGAGGGAGAGAGGTGGGTGGGTGACCTCACACTGAGCTCTTGTGTGGTTCCATACTACATCATATGTGTCTGCAAAGCCCACTTTGTGAGGTCGTAAACTCAAAGTCTTATGGCTGGGAGGCTGTTCAGGTCTTCTGTTTGTCCAGTACCCAGGCAGGGAGACCTGCCCCAGCATCACGCCTGGCAGACATTCATTGAGTCTCTACTTAAAGCCCTCCCAGAATCTCCTATCTCCTTCTGTCACCCATTCCACATTCACATGGGCCTGTCGGGTCATTTTTTCCTTTTTTTCCTTGAATTGAGTGTCTGCCCCTCACTTCTAGTTCTCCTCTTTGTCCTGAGTAGAACAAGCCCCAGTCCATATCCACACGGCTGCCTCCTTCACATAGGGGAAGAGAGTGAGTGGTCAGGTCCCTCCTCACCTTCTTCTCTTGAAATCCCCAGTTCCCTTGAAGGCTTAGCTTAGTTTTGCATGAGACCTTTCCTGATTTCTTCAGGTACTAGTGCTCTCTCCCTACTGACCCTGAAATTGTTTTTTCCTTATTCTGTATATTGTATTTACTTATTTGTGCATTGTATCCCCTCAATGAATGTAAGTTCCTTGAGGGCAGGGACTGTTATTTTAAATATCTCAACACCTCATATAGTCTCTTGCAGTCAGTCAATCAGTGAGGTGACAAGTATTTATTAAGCACCTGCTGTGTTCCAATGCATATACTATTACTACTGTTAATTAAATTTGCTAAATTGATTAAATACCTCTGTGTTCTTGTATTCACGAGAACATAGTAAGTACTGAATAAATGTTTGTTGATTGGTTCCACTGGCATATAGTAGGTGCTTAATAAATGCTTATTGGATTCTCCAGACTTAACATCCTTGGTTCCTTTTTTTTTTTTTAAAGTCAGGAATGAGTTAGGGTTGGAACTAACATACCTATGTTCAAATGTTCTGCTCTTGTCTTTATATATCAGACTCCATCAGGTTCCTGAGTGCATAGGCAACATGACTGGGTAGAATTAACTCCTAAAATAGGATCTCCCACTCTCTCGCCTTCCCCCTAAAAATTTATAAGAGCTCAGGGCATGACTATGTCCAAGGTAGGCACATGCTTACTGAATGAAGGAATGAATTTGCTAGCAGTTTTCTTCTTTTCTTTCTCGTAGCCTGCAAGAAGACAGAAGTAGCAGATATTCTGTTCTTGGTACATGCATCCAGTGGCACCACCAACCAAGAGCTTGTGGCCATTCGCATGCTCATGGAAGCCATTGTCAATGACTCACTGGTTGGAAAGGACAATGTGAGATTTGGGGCTGTTTCCTATAGTGATAATTCAGAAGTACTGTTTTCATTGGATACCTACATTACTAAAGCTCAGATCAGGGAAGCCATTTTACACTTGAAACCCAAGGTGGGAAAAGCCCATACAGCCACAGCTTTAAAGTTTGCTAAGGGAATGTTTGCTGACTTGCATGGAGGTCGCCCATCCTCGGGTATCACCCAGATCTTGGTGCTCATTACCAACAAGCCAACTGAGTTTAAAGAAAGAGGGTACCTACAAGACTCAGCAGAGGCTCTGAAAGAAGCTAACATTAATGTCTTTGCCATTGGAATAAAAAGTGTCAAGAGGCCAGAACTTCAAAATATCACAAGGTATCAGGATAGATCATTTGTGGTGCAGAGTTCTGATGAGCTTTACGATTTGCATGAAAAAGTGACTCATGTCATATGTAATGAATCAAAACCAAGTAAGTGAACCTTTTTCTTTTTTTTTTTTTTCAAAAAATGATTTATTGGTGATGGGGTTTTTTAATATGCCAAGAATTGTCAAATTCTTAACTATCTTAACTATCACTTCCTCTTTGAACCTACCCTCATAACAACAACAAAACTAAGAAAATAGATGGATGAAGCATTTGAGTTAAAAGCATATACAACATCCCACCATTATAGGTGCTTACTCTCTCCCAAGAAGAGGGGAGCATTTTTCATTAAGATTGGCCACTTTCAATGACTCTGAGTGCAGCTGCCCTTTAGCGCTGTTATTGCTTGTATCATTGGAGACTTTGTCCCATGATTCTACATTCTTTGTCCCGAATCAGTTCATATGAGTCTTCTGGTGTTTCTCTGATTTCTTCCTCTCTGCTACTTCTAACTATATAGAAATATCGCTTTGCATTCATATACTACAATTGTTTGTAGCCAATCTCCATTTGATGGGTTTAGTTTTTGTTTAGTTTTTGGTCAATCCCCCCCAAAAATTAGTGAACCTTTTTGTTTTCAAATACATAACACTTATCCAATAGCTCTTCCTCACTTAGATCTTATTTTTGTGGCTATTTGGGCAGTCCAGCCTGACTAAACTACAATATTTCCTGATGGGCTTTAGTGACACCTAGCCAACTTCTAATTTAGAAAGGATGCTATCATTCTTGTTGCTCTAGCTTCCTATCCTATTGAAAGCCTTTTTGATTCTCTAAGGCCGCTCAGGGTTGCTTCAGGACACTCACTGAACCCCATCTAGCCTTCTGGAAGTATGGAACAATGTCTCCATGTAGAACCCCATATAGCCTTCTAGAAATTAGGGATGGGGTGGGGCCATGACTTGGAGAGCTCGATCTGTGGGCTAAGGATAAATAGGGAGCATTTGTGTGCCAGAAATCAAAGAACAGATTTAAGTGAGTAATCAGTTAGAGAGATAAAGCATCCAGGGAGAAATTGAGAGGCTGGTGCCATGTCCAGGCTGTTTCAGGGAATTAGCCTGCACATGGATGGATCAAGCTCTTGGATCCTAGGGACATAGGATGTGGGACCAGAAAGGTTTGTAGAAATGGTTTTGTTTAGTTCATTGTTTTACAAGTGAGGAAGCTAACGTCACGAAAGCTTAGATTACTTACTCAGGGTTGTCCTTTTGGTTAGTGGTAGAGCTGAAATTCAAACCCAAGTCTTTAAAACCCAAATCGAGAACTCATTCCAGTAGTCTAGACGTTCTCAAATTTCTTGGCCTTAAAACCTCTTTTCACCCTTAAAAATTTAGACTAATCCCCCTAAGAAATTTTATTTTTTGTGCATTGTAGCTATTGATTTTTACCACATTAGAAATTAATGTCATGGTATTGTTTTGAAAATAATTTTGACCTCTTAAACCTCCTGAAAGTGGCTGAGATTCCCCCAGAGGTCTCCAGACCACACTCTGAGGCCAAATCCTCTCTCTGAGTTATCAAGTAATTTCTGTAATCAAGTGCGAGATGTTGAAGCATAGCTCATTCAGAAGGGAAGCAAACAAGAGTGAGATGTATTGGGATGGTGTAGGAAAGAAGGACATAAACCCAGGGAACAGTGGCTGTCAAAGAAACACTAAATCTTGCTCCAGTATTTCCTAGAACTTCTCCTTCTTTGATGCTAGGAAGGTATGTTTCTCATGCCTCTTCTACCCTGTTTTTCCCCCTAAACCCAAAAACAAACACCCCTGCCAACACCCCTTGCTGCTGCCTAGCTGGGAGCTACATGATTCTAGGTGGCGTGCAATAGTATAAACGTCTGAACCAGATCGTAGGGTTACAGGACAATAGAGTCATAGATTCAGAGCTACAAGGCAGCTTAGAAGACCTGTCACCAATGTAACCATTTCATTTGCCATGTGACAAAACTGGAAACCAAAGCGATTTGCCTAAGGTTGTCCTGTGGGCAGAACCAGAATTTGCACTCAGGTTTTTCTGTGTCCAAACGTAGTGCTTTTATGAACAGTCAGGATGCCTTTCTAGATAAATCAGCTTACAAGTTTACCTAAATTGTTATCAACGAGAATTTTAATTATGGGAAGGGTCTGTATGATTTAACCGATCTGAGGTGGTCAGAATTGAAACAAGATAGATACATTTCAAGTCATAGTCTATGGATAGGCTTGGATGCATCTTCCAGATTGACGCTAGCATATGATGTGGTGTCTCATTCTGAGGCAGCTGTGGTATAATGGATCAGAGAGCTGGTCTCAAATTCAGGAAGACCTGGGTTCAGATTCTGCCCCCGACACTTACTGACTGTATGACCCTGGCCCTTCTTAGGGCTTCCAGGCAATTCTCTGAATTCTAAATTGTGGAAAAGGTGCTACCTTGCACTGAGAGAGATTCTCGCAGGAGGTTCTGTGTAGCAATGAAATCAGAGGTCTTGTCTCTATCCATACCTCATCACCTCAGTGCTACATTTTCCACAGTGCACTAAAGGCTTTACCTGCCCACAGCATCATTTCTTTTATGTTTAGCATGATTTCTTAAAAGACATTGACCTCTGTTTTTGCTCATTTAATGACTCAGCCAGAGTTGGGAATAAGAGTAAAACAGGAAAAATGGCAAGAGGGAAAGACGTGGACAAAGATCTCACCTTTTCAAACCTGTATTTAGCTTTAAAAATGAATCTTTTTTTCTTTTCCAGTTTGTGTCCATCAGCAAATAGATCTTGTGTTTCTGATAGATGGATCCTTGAGCATCCATCCCCGAAACTTCACTGCCATGAAGACTTTTATGAAGCAAATAGTGAACAGTTTCACTATTGGCAAGGATAGGGTCCGCACTGGGGTAGCTCAGTATAGCACTGATCCTAAGAAAGAATTCTACCTTAATGCTTTCTACTCCAGTGCTGAAGTCAATGAACATATTGACAAGATTATCCAGTTGAGAAGTAAAACATTCACTGGTAAAGGTCTGAAGTTTGTCAAGAGCTTTTTTGAACCAGCCAATGGGAGCCGGAAGAACCTCAATGTGTTACAGAGCCTGGTAGTCATTACTGATGGAACGTCCACTGATTCGGTAGTGGAAGCAGCAAGTGACTTGAGAAATGAAAAAATCAACATTTTTGCCATTGGTATAGGTGTCATCAACCTCTTTGAACTTCAGGTCATCGCTGGCAATGTGCAAAGGGTGTTTGTAGTGGGTGACTTTGGACAACTGGGCATTATCGAGAGGAAAATTGTCAGTGAGCTCTGTAAACCAAGTGATATTATTGCTCCTGGTGAGTGAAAACAATACGCGCTGCTCCTAAGTCACATTTCTATGATGATTCCTGAAAAAAGACGGAGATACTTATCTAATGGAATAGAAATAACCTCATAGAGACTTACTTCATAAAGACAGGCGAGGAAGCAGAAGAGGGTTAGACGGGAGTCCAAGAAATAGGGGTTCTATTTCTGTATCCACCTCTTGGGGCTTGTCAGTGAAGGGATGCCTTGGAATCAGGAAGATACAGTTAGATTTAGATCTTTCCTCTGTCAGGTTCTAGCTTTGTGACCATGGGCAAATCATTTAACCTTTCAGTGACCCAGGGCTATCCTCTGAGGCTGCACATTCCAGATGAGCTACTAATAGGTTCTGGTGGAGGGAATTATATGCATTATATATATTATGCATTTTCCACACCAGTGAAAAAGAAAAATTTCTAAAAGAAAAAGAACTCAATATTTTCTCTGGGTTTTAGGAACTGGGGGAAGTTCCATTGACCAATGCAGAAATTAGAGGATTTATCTAATTTTAAAAAGCATATAAATCCTTATAATTAATGTGGCTATTGTGCATCAATCTAGCCATTTATAAAGTATGTTTACATCAGTCTAGCCATTACAAAGTACACTTACTTTGTAAAAAAAAAAAAATCATGTCTATGGCTTGATATTAACACAGTAGGAAATCTTCCCAGGACATTTATTAGCATGAAACATAATTAAAGTCAAAATGAAATTATTTTTGAAGAATCTTGGGGAAGCAAATGTTCTCAGGAATCTAGTTTCTTGGTAATGATTAATGTATGGCTTCTGTAGGTTGACTCTAAGCTATCTCCCCAGGTTTGTTGTTAAGGGTTTCATTTTGAATTAAGCTCAGCTATGCCAGAAGCTGGTGGGGTGAATGGTAGGGACTTTTAATGAGAAGCCAAAGTTTAGATTCACCTGGAGTTTTCCTGGGCTGGTATTCTGTGTTGATTGAACGTTATGAAATAAGTGTTTAAGATCAGAACTTTGAATGCAATTCTTGACAGACACAAACGCATACTTTCTTTTAAAATGTATAAGACATAGCACTGCCAGGGATTTGAAAACATCAGACTAACTGCCTCATTGTTTGTCGAGGCCATGTGATATATTGGAAGAGCAGTCAGGTGAGACCCTGATTGGAATCTTGTTTCTGGTACTTACTAGCTACGTTACTGTGGGCAAAGCGTGCCGCCTCTCAGTTTCTTTAGCTATAAAATGGGCATACTAATCTTAGTAGTGCCTTCTTCACAGACCTGTTGGTAAGGGTCAAATGAGATAATCCACTTGAAATCATAGCGAAACTTCAAGCTTAGTCTAGTTAGCTGTGATTAGTTGGTTGTGATTAGTTGGTTGTGAATCATCTCAAGAAAGTATTCGATTACATGATTTCTTTGGTTCCTTCCAACTCTTTGTAACACACATATTATTGAATGCCTTTGTTTCAGATACCCCAAGTTCAGGAAACATGTAACTAGCAAAATAGCCAGGGGTGGCTGTTGTGGTGACTCTTCATGTCAGATGTTGTCTAATTCTTGAATTTTGCTTTTTATTTGTGTCAGAAACAAATTATTATTACTAAGTAATAATTATATATGCCTGTGATTTCAATCACTGTAATTTAGTCACCATACCTATGGTACAGGAATTCTCTATAAGTAAATTTCCTCTGCCAATGTAGATAAACTCTCTCTACAGCATAGAGGCCTACAGACTTGTCTAGGTCACTAAACAGTGAAGTGATTGGCTTATTCTTCCCAGGGAAAGCGGAGACTGGGCAAAACCCAATCACTTATAGATACTCCCTCCAAAAAAAAAAAAAAAGAAAGAAAGAAAGTAGACATCTGGACTTGTGATTTCATTGCTGTAGGGAATGTGCAATTAGGAAACCACCACCATCAATGAAGATTGGTCCTGTTCTGCAGATTTTATTCTTAGACCATTGTCTGGGAATTTATATGATTTGTCCAAGGTCGCATGACCAGAATTATTCTGGGGTGGGGGGTACTTTAACCCAGGTCTTCCTAACCCCAAAGCCAACACTTAACATTTTTCATAAAACTGTTTGTATACATTATCTCATTTGATTCACCATCCTATGAGGTAGGCAAAACAAGTTCATCCCCATTTTATAGATAAGAAAACTGAGGCTCAGAGCTAAAGCCGCTTTTCCAAGGGCCCTCAGCTAGTTAGTGAAGTAGTAAGGACTTGAGTAAGGTCTTCTGATTCTAAACCTGGTATGTTAGATATTTGTGATCAGGAACAAATTTATACTAGGCTAAAAAAAATAGGAAAAAGGTTACATAATAAAACCAACCAAAAATGGATTTTTGGAAAAAGTAAGGTGTAGGTATTTAAACACAACCACACAGCAAGTTGTGTCAATAAGCATTTATTAAACGCCTACTATGTGGGAGGCACTGGGGATACAAATAAAGGCAAAAGCTGTCCTTGCCCTCAGTGAGCTCCCAGTCTAATAATAGGACAGAGAATCTGCAAACAGCTATGCACAAACAAGATATACACGGGATGACTTGGAAGAATACAAGTGTCTCATGGTCAGAAGTTAGTCAATGGTACAAATTATCATTACAGGATCTCAGGAGCCTCTCGGTGAATTTCAAGTAAAGAATAGAGAAGTTTTTTTTTTTTTTAGTTCTGTTATTAAAGGGAAGGAAAAGCATATGCTCTCAATTCATAGACATAAATGATGATTAACCATCTCAGGAGTGTGAGTAATTAGCTGTCACAGACTCCAAAATAAGCATGGCTAGATCTCAGCTATTCTCGAATGTCTGATGTGTCTGTGACCTTTTTCATGGGTGTTATTCTCATACAAACTCCCATTTCCCACATTTATCATTGTCTCTATTTTTGTTTTAAAAGAAGCCTCTCCAATACTCCACCTTTCTTTTCCAGAAATGCACTTGTTTAATTTCCTCTTGTATCTGTGATCTTTCTTTTCTGTATTGGAAGTAAATGGCTCAGACTTTTTAAATATGGCAGCCTCTAGGGTCCAGAGAACTAGAACACTTCTGAACCCCACCAAACTTTTCTTGCGTGACCTGTCTCAACCTCCTGTTGGAGCCAGGCAGGGGGTGACAGGGCAATGAATCATTGGTCGGTTCTAGGGGAAAAGGAAATGGCTCAGCTACTGCTGAAAGATACTTAGCGGCTCATATGAACACACCGGTCCATAAAGCTCCCCGTTTGTACCAGGGAAAATCAACGTTTTCAGAAACGCATTTCTTTGCCTCTGATAGTCATTTTTATTCTTTTACGAGTTTTTCCTTGGTCCATTTTGTTGTGTGGTATACTTAGAGCCAAGAAGACCATGGTTCCAGCCTTGTGGCTTATCCATATTTGTGACCCTGGGCAAGTCAGTTAACCTCTGAGCACCCCAGGCATCTCTCTAAGACCATGAAGTAGAGTAAGGACTGGTCTCCAGTGGTAGAGGAAGTTTCCTCTCTGGGAATTTCCTATTTCGATAAAGTGACCGGTAGGAGCTTCTGCATTGTTTTTGGAGGGGAAAGCTGTGAGTAGAGGTACTCTGCCCCAGTCTGCCATTCCTCGGTGATCCTTTCTACTGAGCCCTCCGCATCCGTTAGCTAGTGGTGACTGACGTGTCTGGTGATGGCTCTTCCTCACTTGATCTGGGCCTCCTGGTTCACTCCACTGCCCCGAAGGCTCCTTCTTCACAGGGTCAGTAGAAGGTGCTTGGAAAGTTGGCTACACAACTTTTCAGGTCTGCCCAGAGTGAAGTAGGCACTTAAATGGTTGTTGTGTGAACAAAAGGACAGTTACAATGGAATAGGCAGAGCATACAGTGACCCGTTAATAGTCAGCTGGTCAGCAGGCATTTATTAAGCACCTACTATGTGCCAGACCTTTGGGATGCAAAGAAACCCAAATGAACTCTGATAGGGTTTGGTAGAGTCCTCGGCAGTTCTGTCCCGGAGTCCAGCTTGTGTCTAATATGACATAAATTTGGGGTGAAGTTCCAGAAATTACAAAATTGATCCTGGCTCACTTGATTTTGGTTTTTGCTTGCCTTCTCCCTTGCACAGAATGCAACATCGATATCTCAGTAGGACTTGATATTTCCAGTTCAGTCAGTCTGGTGCAGCAGAGACTGCAGCAGCTGCTGCCGAACCTGATGCAAAAACTGACCCTGCTGTCCAACATCAGCTGCGTGGCCAGCACTCCGCTCAACATGAGGCTCCGCTACCACATTCCCACTCCTGACGGCCCGTCTCGGTTCGACTCGGGTTTTGAGAGGTACAGTGAAGGGATCATCCAGAAGTTCTTTGACCAGCATGACTTGGAGAACAACTATATGAATGTGGCTTTTATGCGCTCCCTTGGGGAGAAGGCTCTCAGCTTGACCTCTGCTAAAGTGAAGGTAGGGGCTGTCATTTTGAACCTAAAGTCAAGCCACATGAATATACCTGTGGTTTTGTTCTCACAGTACTCCATACACATTTTCCTATTTAGGCAGTGAATTCCCCATATTTAATGTCTGTGTCATAGGCAGCATAGTGGAGTGGACAGAAGGCTGGCCTAGGAGTCGGAAAGACTTGGCTTCACATCCTGCCTCTGACACATCCTGACTTTGTGACCTCGGACAAGTCACATAACTTGTCTCAGGGCTCCGTAACCATTGTCTAAGACTATCACTTGCAGAACAGGACCTCTCTCCATTGATAATGAGAGTGTCCTCATTGGGCATTCCCTATAGCAATGAAATCACAGGTCCAGTATAAAAATAAAAATGTCTATTTCCAATTTTCTTCATCGTTGGAAATTTCATCTTCTGACTCCACATATGCGTGAATAAGAATTGATAAGAAGACTCCTATTTGTTTGGATTCTTCCAGGGCACAGTTTTCCCCTAAGCAAAAGTTGCATGATGTTAGAAGGGCCATTGTTCTTCAGGGAGGGCTCCTCTCTCCCAGGTTATTGCTTGTATGTTTACCAAGTTCATACACTGATTGTTTTTAGCCACTTCAAATACTCCAGTGGGTCTATGATCTCATCAGCATGAATGTTCCCTCTAATGATTCCCATCCATACCTAGAAGAATAGTAAAATGTACTCTTTTTTTAAAAATATTTTTTTCCATTATCAAGCATTTATTTTTTTAATCCCTCCCACTTCCCCGACCCAATAAAAACAGAAAGAAAAAGAAGGAAAGAAAAAAAAATACAGAACTATTGCATGACAGGATCATAGTTAATTGAGCAAAGCAAATTCCACGTTAGCTTTGGTCCACAAATACATTTCTCATTCTGCGTCTCAGGCCATCATTTCTCAGTGGGTACTGTTCTTCAGTCCTCTTGAATCATGGTTAATCATTTCATTGATCAGAGTTCTTAAGTCTTTCAGAATTGTTTGTTGGTACAGTGCTGAAGTTATAGTGTGAATTGTTCTCCTGGTTCTGCTTACTTTGCTCTTTATTAGCCCATACAAGTCTCTCTGAAGCTCTCTCTTCGTTTCTTATAGAGCAATTGCGTTCCATTAAGTGAGCATACTGTAATTTGTTCAGCCATTCCCCAAGTGAGGGAACATGACACCCTAAACTAATGGGCCTGAGCCAAAACATGGTGGGGGTGGGGGTGAGTGTCATAAATGAAGACACAATGTTTTTGAGAATTTCCATTCCAAACCTCCAAAAATGATTTTCGAGTTAACATAGGTAGTTAAGATGGATGGTGGACTTTCATGTTCCTGCATCATATTTTTGACAAGTGCATTGGCTTAGCACTTTTTTTTTTTTAATAACAGGTTCTCTTAGTGTTTACAGATGGACTGGATGATAATTTGGAAAGACTAAAGGAAATCTCGGAATTCTTTCGTCTCAAAGGTATGATGAGACAATTCTGATGGTGCGGTGTTTTGTAATAATTAGAAAGCAGGTCTTGGGGGTCAGGAAGACTGGAGTTCAAATGCACCCTTTGGTGCTTATTAGCTATGAGATGATGGGAAGGTCCCTAAACCTCTCTGAGTCTCAGTTTCTCCATCTGTGAAATGGGGATAGTAACAGCCACTCCCTCCCAGGGTGGTTGTGAGGATCAAAAAGGAAAACATATATGAAATGCTCTGCAAACTCCAAGTTCTAAAGAAGTTCACCATAAATATTATTACATTCAGTAATGTTGACTGACTTTTCTACCGTTTGCAGAGCCTTTTATGTATGCTGTCTCATTTGACCGTCATAATAACCATGTGAGATAGGTTCTTCAGGGTATTATTATCCCCCTATTACAGGTGAGGAAACTGAGGCTTAGAGGACCATAGAGATAAAGCCGGAAGGGACCTCAGAGACCATTTAGTGCACCCTTCTTATTTTAGAGATGAGGAAACTCCGGCCCAGGGACGTTAAGTCATTTGCCCTGGGTCAAACAAGTATTAAGTGGCAAGGTCAGGTTCGCACTCAGGTCCTGTGACTCTCATTGAAGTTCAGCCATCTTCCCACTGTACAGCCCTGTTCAAAGTTGCTGCAAGGGACAAGATTTGAACCCAGCTCTTTTCCGAGTTTACTTCATCCACTTCCAGCCTGTGTGTTCCCGGCACTTTATTTACCTTCTCTGGGCTTCAAGTTCCTAATTTGTAAAAATGGCGGGGCAGAACCACGCCTCATCCAAGGTTCATTCCAGGTCGAAGCCTCTGGTTCTTTAGTCCACCCTGCCAAGACCTCCAGAAGAGCTGGGAGGTGCGGGACGGGCAGATCAGTCTTTTGGGGACCCAGCAGATTTCTTGTTTCTATCTGCAGGTCTGGGACAAAGGCAAAATGTTCTGAAGCCCCCATTGTAAAAATGTTTTTCTTTTTACTTGTTGTTGTTTTTCCTCTGAAGGTCTCCATGCACTTATATTAGTGGGCTTGCAAAGTGGGCAGAAGTTAGAAGAGCTCCAGGATGTTGAATTTGGCCGAGGATTTGGTTATAAACAGCCTCTGAGCATCACAATGCGAGCTCTTCCAAGCCTCCTGTTGAGGCAGCTTGTGAGTTGTTTTGGACATTCACACCCTCCCACATTGGGACCTATTAATGAAAAAAAATTTAGATCTTAAAATTATTTTTCTTTTAAAACTTGATACCAAATGACAAAATGAAAATTTCTTTTCTTTTCTTTTTTTTTTTGTGGATTCTATTTTCTAGGACACAGTTGTAGAAAGAGAATGCTGTCAGGTCATTTGCAAAATTCGGGGAGACTCTGGTGCCTCAGGAGAACAAGGGAACCGTGGGAGGAAGGTGAGAGGCTTTATCAATGTCTTCTACCTACTAAGAAGCATTTCTGACTTTGGTCCTATTTTTGAAATAGAAAGTAGGATTGGGGCTTAAATCTAAACTGTTAAGGTATTGAGGTGACAGCATAAATTCTGCTCCAGTTATAATTTGTCTCTTGCTAACAGGAGGCTACATGGTCCCATGGACAGGCAATGAGCTTAGACTGCTGCTGACCTTGGAGTAATATGACCCCACTTGTGTGACCTTGGGCATTCAATTTCGTGGGATTTAGTTTCTGCATCTGCAAAAGGAGAGGGTTGAAAGAGATGGCATTTTTCAATTGAAATTTAATTGGACAAACATTTATTAAGCTCCTATTATGTGTTAAGTGTAGAGGATTCAAGTTAAGGCAAGCAAGACAGTCCCTTCCCTCAAGGAGCTTATGTTCTGACAGATGAAGATGCACATAAGGGGATGGCTGTTTCCTCTCCTCCAGGCACAGCTAGAGATATCCAGAAAGTTCAGTGGGATCCTGGAACTGAGTAAGATAAGGCCAAGGTTGGTCTATCCAAGCCAAGGGTGACTCCAGAGGTGGGACAGAAATGGAGATGATGGCCCACTTGGAGTCCAAGGCAGACTACAGGGTTACAATAAACTTGGTAGCCACATGTCACCCATGACAGAACTCTTAGGGAGTCCGTCTCAGCTCTTTCTACCACTCAGCTGACTTGTATAGATGATGCTAGATTTGGGCACATAGGCTCAAACATTCTATCAGAGTACTTTCATTATCATTCAATGGTTACTGAATGCAAGGCATTATGCTATGGAGATCTCAAGGTTACTAAGACATAGTTCCTGCCCCCAAGAATCAAACACAGCTGTTAAGTTTTCACTTGACTACAGAATATTTCCCTTGTCCCATACATTTGACTAATAATAAGTACGCCCTATGCATACCCACTCTGACAATTTTTTATATCACTGGACTAGACTGAGATAACACAGTGGACTGTCTGAGAAGCCTGCTGATTTACAAATTTTCTGGTCAGCCCTTGGTTATCTCTGTGGTTTAGTGATAAGAAATTCCTTTGTTCTACACCATTAAGGAAATGGGTTTCATCTGAGCTGGCTTTAAAACTGGTCATGTGGTTCCCACAGTGAATGGGACCTAATTATTATGACTGCTGTGTAATCCTAGATCAGTATCAAACTCTAAGATGAACCCACTGGTTTTGTATCCTCTTTTTACTTTTGCTCGTTGGGAAAGACTTTTCTCAGGGATTCCTTTAGAACTCAACAGCTCCTCCAATTAATCTCTGGGTATTCTTGACAAGTCTTAACATTTGAATGACTTTTTCAGAATTGAACATTTTAAAGATTGTTTTATTGATAATTTTTACTTTTTGCTCCCTGAGCCCTCCGACAGAATCCTCTTTTATAACAAAGAAAGACAGTTAAACAAAGCCAACTGACAGTATATGATGGTGTTTGCAGTATTCTATATCCATAGTCTGCTGTCTTTCTATCAATGGGAAGTATGTTTCATTGTTTTCACTCCACTATCAAGATTGGTCATGTGTAATTATTTTTTGAAAAATAAACTCTATTTGTTTTAGAACTAGATTTTCTCATCTAGTTATCTACAATCAACATCTCAAGACTAGAGAATCACCTGGGAATCACTACAGATGTTTTCTTGCCAGGCCACAGACATTTAAACAAAGGCCAAGAGGCATGTCCAGGCAATGCAATGAGCTTATCTACATCAGACATCTGTGTTTGATAGGACTTAGTGGTCAGTTGTTAAGTCTTGGTTGGTCAGGAATAGAAGATTGCTCACTGGTTATTTTTAACTTGATTTAAATATTTTTTCAAAATGGTTTTTATTGATATCTTTGATTTTTACATCCCATTCATTAAAAAAAAAAAACAGAATCCTTCTCCCACTCAACCCTACCCATCTCCTCACCTATCACCAGAGCCATCCCTTGCAAAACAAATTTTTTAAAAGAAAGAGAAAAGAACCATTCGGCAAAAATAACCCAGTGCATCAAGTCTCACAATGTATGAGATATCCCATACCCGTAGTCCTTCTACAAAAAGAAAGGGAGGTATATTTTTCATCTCTTCTTCAGGGCCAAGACCAGTCATTATCATTACCTAGAATTCAGTGTAATTTTTTTTTGTTTTTTCTGTTTATGAATTTATAACATAAATGTTGGCTTAATGACTTTTTGTCTTGACTACAAGCTAGCATTCAAAGCTGTTCATTTCAGTGATAATACTGAAGTCACGTAGCAAGAGGGTAAAGGACCAAATGAAACTAAACATCTGGGACACACAGAAAAAAAAAAAACCCCAAACCCTTCAATTTCCTTGGACGAGAAAGAGGTTAGCTTATTCTGCTCCATTATTATTATAATTATTAAAATTGGCATCCACCTTCAGGATGGAATTTTTCTCTAAACCTTTACTTCTAACAAAATGAAGGCTAGTCTTACAATGATACAACTATTATACAAGTTTAGGAAAGATAGGAGTAGATTTAAGTTTGTGTCTGTAGAGGGAAAGAGGTCCTCAGGTTATTATGATCAATTCCAATCTAGGAAAGTTTATTTATTGTGTCATTCCAGGGAACCAGCAGTAGTTTCATCAATTTGAATTAATAACAGAGTTGAGGAACAATGCTAAATGAATTTTATTTTAAAAATTAAATTCTATTTTGTTTTTAGGGAGAGACAGGTCTTCATGGGATGCCTGGCCATCCTGGTGATGAAGGTGGACCTGTAAGTAATAAATCTTAATTTGATACTGAAGAACAGTGTTGAAAACAGTTCCGTAGATGCTTACCTCACTGAACCAAGGTCATTCCAATGGTGTTCTTAATTATACTTTTCAAAGAGTTTCATTTTGTCGATTAAAAAAAGGTATAAATTATAACCATTCCTTATCATAAGTTTTTGTATCAGGTAGACTGATGTAGAGAGAGATCCATGGAGAATAAAACTGGGTTATTATGGCATGATTTTTTTATGGTGAGTCTACCTTAAGTAATCTGCGTTGAGTTGTGTGCCTATAGCTGGAAGATGATAATGTGGAGGTGAAATCTTTATTAAATTAGATGATGAGGGCTTAAAAACCTTCAAAAGAACCAAAAAGTAACATTCCCAGAATCACTCTCAATATACTCTCATAGTGGTAAGGGACCTTAGAGTCTCTGTATCCCAATCAATACCTGGACAGAATGGGAGAGATAGGTTTAGACAGTAATTTCTCTCTACAAAATTCCTCCGAAGTAGTCATCCATCTATCACTTAAAAACCCTCAGTGAGATCATGCTGAGGTAGGCCATTCCATTTTTGGATAATGCTCATTGTTATGCCGTTTTTGCTTATGTTGGACTGGTCTGTCTCCACATAGAACAAATCTAACTGTAGCCTTTCAGATTATTTTTCTTAATTTTGTTTTTAATTTATGGAATAAAACAAGCATGTCATAATATAGTATGACAAAAAATACAATCACATATGAAAATGTAATCTTTTATGTACAACTTGCCATTCCTTTCAAATATAAAACAAAATTATTATGTAAATGTCTACTTTTTTTCTTCCTTTCCTCACCCTAAAGATGGCTATCATTAGACACAAATAGTTATCTATATATAAAGTTATTCTATGAATACCTCTGTTTATCAGTTCTTTCTGTGGATGCAGATAGCGTCTTCTTTCATAGGCCTTCAGATTCTTTTTTTTTTTTTTTTTTGGCTAGGCAACGGGGTTAAGTGATTTGCCCAGGGTCACACAGCCAATGAGTGTCAAGCATTTGAGGCTGGATTTGAACTCAGGTCCTCCTGACTCCAGGGCTGGTGCTCTATCTACTGCACCATCTAGCTGCCCCCAGCCCTTCAGATTCTTGAAGGCAGCTATCATGCCCCTACCGAGTATTCTCTACTCTGGGCTAAATATTCGACTTCCTTCAATAGATCCTTATGTGGCATGACCTTCCTCTGGACATTCTCCAGCTTATGAATTTTCCTTCTAAAATGTGATACCTAGAGCTCATCATAATACTCCAGAAATAGTCTGACTAAGGCAGAGTACCGTGAGACTATCATTTCCCTATTTCCGGGCTCTTTTAATGAAGCCTAAGATTTATAGTCTTTTTTCTTTGGCCGGACATCACAGTGCTATTGAGCTGGCAGCTGACTTTGTTTTGCTCTCGAAGGATTTCATTGGTGTGGTGAAGAATCCTCAAATATTTTTAATAAACTGCTCTCTGCTTTATGCCTCACCCACATCCAAAGAGGAAAGTGTTCCCTTCTAGCTTTGTGTAATATGTAAAATTGACGAGTATGTCATTTGTGTCTTAACCCAAGTCCTTGATAAAAACATTAACCAGCACAGAACAAGAACTGATCCTTGGGAAGCACTAAGACGTGCTTCCAAATTGGCACTGAACTATTAATGGCTGTTCTTTGGGTCTCACCATTAAGATCGGCTGGCCTACACCTCTGTCTTGTCCATGTGAACAGCATGAGAGACTTTATCAAGTGTTTTGCTGAAGTATAGGTAAACTTGGTTTACAGCATTCCCCTGATCTTGTTCCTGTCAAAACCTTGCCAAAACAAAGCAAATGAACTTAATCAATCATGGCCTATTCTGATGAATGTTGGTCTATCTATCTATCTATCTATCTATCTATCTATCTATCTATCTATCTATCTATCATCTATCTATCTATTTTTTAACATTCATTTCCCTAAGATTTTGAGTTCCAAATTTTCTCTCCCTTCTCCCCCCCACCCCAAGATGGCATACAATCTGATATAGGCTCTACATATGCCATGTTGGTTTTTTTAAAAGATCATCACTGCTTCATTTTTTGGCATTCATGAATAATTTACTTTCCCTTTCTTTCCTTCCTTCCTTCTTTCTTTCTTTCCTTCTTTCCTTCTTTCTTCCTTTCCCTTCCTTCCTTCTTTCCTTCCTTCCATAATGACTAATTCTCTAATAATGAACCCAACCGTCCCATAGGACTTCTGATGGGATAATTAAGAATGCTGAAGTAAATGGACTAACCTCTTCATGTCTTGTTACCTTTTTGTCAAAATTAATGAAATCAATCAGCTTAGCTATAGAGATAGGATGATATAGTTGGAAAGAGCACTCGATCAAGAATAAAAAGATCTGGGTTCTAGTCCTGCCTCTCTGAGCCTCAGTTTCCTTACCTGTAAAATAAGATGACTGATTTAGAGGATTTGTAAGTTCACTTACATCTCTAATATTCCTTGTTTTTTTTTGCCCTACTGTCAATCAATTTGCATTTATTAAGCACCCACTATGTGCCAGCCACTATGTTGAGCACTAGGGATACAAAGAAAGGGAAAAAACTCAAACCCCCAAGCAAGAACAAACCAGCCCCCACCCTCGAGGAGCTCACAGTCTAATGGGGGAGACAGCGTGCAAACAGCTAGGCACAAATAAGCTGTAGTCGATGACTAGGGGTGAGCTTAGAAGGAAGAAGGGACCAGGAAAGACCACTTACAGAAGGTAGGACTTTAGCTGAGATGTGAAGGTGAAGATGAAGAGGAAGAACTTTCTGGGCATTGGGGACAGCCAGCCAGTCGGAGAAAGTGTTCAGAGTTTGGAGATGGAGTGTTGTGGGAGAGAAATAATTGGTTTTCCTCAGCTGTGCAGGTGCAGCCTGAAGTATTTTTATCCCACAGGGAGAAAGGGGCGTTATTGGCTTGCCGGGACCTCGTGGTGAAGGAGGATGCCCAGGAGAAAGAGGGCTTAAGGTGAGCATTGCCCAGGAGAAGGAAGGTTGAGTCACTGTTCCTGTCTTGTTTTTCCATCATTTCCACAGTTCTGTGTGATTCTTAATCCTTGAAAGGGTTCAGGACATGACTCTTTAGTGCTGGTTCCTAGTCAGCTAAAATCCTGTCTTATAGCTCTTTGGAGGTGTCTACACTGAACCAGGCAATCAGTGTCACTATGGGTGGTGAGTCAGGGTCATCGATGTTACCTCTAGATTCTTCTGGCTTCGCTCCACCTCTTCCCTTCTCCCCAGCTACCCTACCTAAGAAAAGGCCTTTTTAGTCCACAGCCTTAGGTAAATATTCCTTCTTATCTGGAGGAGTCCAGTTGTCTAGACTCAACTTATGACTTCTTCCTGCCCCAACTTGGCTGTATGTTGGCAAGTGAGCTTTTCTTCTCAATGGTCAAATATCCTTAGCACATCAGTTTCTCTGGGGGAGAAGTTCTAGCTTTTGATATCATATTTGTATAAATGGTTTAATGAGTGTGGCATAGTTTATTTCTATATCTCATTTTAACAACTCTTTTTCTTTCTAAAATTCAGGGATCAAGAGGGTTTGTAGGAGAAAAGGTAGGTCCTTTATTTTCTTCCTAAAATGGAAATTAATTTCTGTTGAGCAAATACAGTTGGAAATCTTGTCTATTTTGCTTTGCTTCAGTAAAGAAAGGTTACAAAATTCATGGAAAAACAAAAGAAAATGTTACTGATGGTGCAGGTCCAGCATTCCAGGGCTAATAAATGAGTATTTGGTGAGCTGTGTACACATTGCCCGAGGCAGTGGTGCATGATAGAATTTTGAATGTTTCCAACTTTGATTTAATCATCTCCATGATGGTCTGGTTATTTGTGGGCCTAAACTTAAGGTTTGTCTAAAGTCTAGATCAATAGGGTAAAGGGTGAGATGGGAATTGGCTTTGAGAGAGCCTGATAGTCAATTGTTGGATCCAGGGTAGTGGGGTAAGTGTTGACAAATCTGTGAATAGTCATGCTTCTCTGCTAATCCAGAAACAGAAAGTGCTGATGTCACTGTGTGATGTGAGATCATATCCATACTCCTGGTTCCCCTTGTGGTGGGGGGGTGCTAGGTAAAGTTGGGCAGGAAACCTGAACTTACCACAGGTTTGTGAGAGTGGATTGATTAACTCATCTAGTGTGGTAAGTAGAATATATATTCATTAACCATGGTCTAAAAATCTCTACTTCAGCAGATGAGTGACAAATACATTGGGTAATTCTGGGTTCCTAACCTAGAACGTAGTATACAGTAGGCACTCAATAAATATTTGAAGATTTCAATGATGATGCCGGTAGAAGGGACATTTATCAGGAAAGCTAAATTGTCAGTAAAAGTCCGGCCAAAAGGATCTAAATCCTAGCAGGAGTGACAGGACATTGACCTATGATTTCATTGGTATAGGGAAATCTCAAGAGAGGGAATTCCATCTACCAATGCAGGTCAGCACCTTCTCTGCAGTTCATAGTCTTAGAGATTTGCCTAAAACATTGAGAGGTTAGTGACTTGTTCAAAGTCACACCATCAGTAAATGTCAGAGTAAGGACTTGAGCCTAGGTCTTCTTTCCAAGGCCAGTTTCTTATCCATTAGGCTATTTTGTCTTTGCTATCTGCATAACAGCATATACCGTATTGAAAGCAGAGCATGCCTAGAGTTCCTCTGAAGACTTTATAAAATAGAAGTTAACAGCTCCCTTGTGGAGTGGGACATTATCACATCATACAGGAATAGCGCACAGAGAAAGAATATACCAAAGGCATTGGCCAGGCCAGGAGAAGGAAGCTAGTGGTGGATTCTGCTGAATCCTTCTCCTAAACCAGTGTTTTCTGTCTTCATTTAATGCTTCAGCCATGCTGAGGTCAAGAATGCCTGAAGCTCCTACCTCGTAGGTTGGTTGAGAGAAAGTGTGCAAACCTTTAAGGGCTAAATGGAGGTTGTTATCATTGTTGTCGTTATGATTACTGTTATCTCATTATTCTCTTCTTTTTTTGATGGGCCTAAGAAAGGATCCAAGAACAAGTTGCTATTCTTCTTTCATCTTGCATATGTAATATTATGTAGACTATTGGGCAAATGAGAAAATGGCTTTTGAATGGGAAAATGTAATTACATAGGAGTCTTAAGTTGTAAGGTCATCTTCTATAGACTCACTGAAAGTTTCAATGGGACAAATCTAGTAGTAGACAGGAGGACAGGAATGATATATGTCTCAAAATATACCCAAATTTTTAAAATTTCCACTAGATATCCATGTTTTGAAAACTTTTCTTTCCATGTAGTTTAGAGATTGTGTGTTCAGTATATTGACATCTGTTGAAACTATTGTCCTTAAATTTGTATGAACAAATTTTATGTCCAATGTTATATGGGCATTGTCATCATCACCATCTCATTCTTCTCATCTTACTATTACTGTTGCTTCTACTGCTACAAAACCATAATCCCTGACATTGGAAATCCTCTTAAAGTTCTGGAGGCAAGACCACTGAAGAACTAATGTGGCCAAAAGTTAGTCTGGAACTTGTCCTACTGGTAAAAAGAGACCACTTTAGTGACTGTTAAACAAGCGTAAATGTTTTCTTGATGAAGGACCATTGATAATTACTGTTTCTTCATGTGTTCTGGAAAATGGGTACTTTTGCCCATATAGGCCATGAATGGCTACACTGGCCTGCTAGCAAGGAGACAGAGACCACTTGTAGGAGATCTGGGCTGCTGGGCTACGTATCGCTAGCCTGCTGCAGACTTTCCTTTGGTTCATTTCCCTGACTCTAGTTTTCATTCCAATCTCTCTGTGTGCTTTGGCCACCTTGGCTGTCTCCAAAGCACAGCACACCACTTCCTGAGTTTACCTTCTTTTCTAAATCCTGGGGAGGGGGAAGGAGAAGGCACACTTCTTTGTGCGCATCAAAGCTCTTTTCTGTGATTGTTTATCCTCCAACTCCTATTCAGCTGCTGATTTCCTGAGCATGTGTTAGGAAGATTAGCACACAGGAATGGGGAGAAAAAGTAATAAAAAGAAATCATTTGACAAAGGAAGAGAGCCCTTGGTATTCAAGCAACCAGTTAAGCATTATTTATTATCTTGTGAAATTTATTGTTATGATAACTGCCTAAGAGCAAGTCATTACTATTTGATAAGATTTTAAGACACCCCCTGACATTGCCACAATATTGGCTACTCCTATGCCTTTGACCATGATTTAAGAGTAAAACTTATTGTTATTTTATTCTTTTCATAACTTTGACAATATTCACTCTTAAAAGCATTGGTTTGCATTAGCCGGAGAAACTAAGCTCTATCAGATTTTGAAAAGTTCCAGAGAGTTCATCTCCACTTTATGAATTGAGAAAAAGTTTTTCATTACCAGAATCCCACTCTCCCCTCAAAAAAGCCTTTTTAGAATGTGCTTGATTTTATCTCTGTACAATCGTTCTGACATCCTGACTGGTTTCTCTTCACCACAGGGCAACCAGGGTGACAATGGAATGGATGGGTTTACTGGAGAACAGGTATAAGAATGTATCCAATCATTGAAGGAATGGAGAAGAATCACTGGTAGAATTCATAGAACAAGAATAGTACATGCCTTTATTTTTCTTTTCCTTTCTGTCTTCTTTCTCCCCCAAATCTAGGGTGAACGTGGCAGTTCTGGAATCTCTGGAGAAAAAGGAAATACTGGAAAACAGGTAAACTATGATATCATTTTGCTTTCAGAGGGTGAACTTGTCTTGAAAAATGCACCCTCCCTGTACTCAATGTGACAAGTTCCATTTGGTGGTAGAAGATATGAGCAGAATAACCTTAGATCCTGCTGGAGCAGGGCTCAGGTAAAGATTTTGAGGGCATTGATTAGAAGCTGGAGTTCTGATCCTGGTTCTGAAGATGATGAACTGAGTGACTTCAGAAAAATCACTTACTCCTCCTGTGCCTCTCTGATCATCATCCTGCCATTTCCCTACCCTACGGATCTCTGACAGATACTAGATATGTGGCCAGGCCACAGGCTGATCACTTACTCCTCCCTAGGCAACTCTCTAAGAATAGACTTACAGATTGCTATCAATCTGCATTGGTGGAGGGAATTTCCATTTTGGGAGGTCCCTCCACCAATAAAGTCAAAAGTAAGGACATATACATGTATGTGCACATGCACATGAACATATGTGTATATAATAATGTACGTGCATGCACATTTACCTCTGAAGTATATATAAAATATGCATGTGTAACACATGTATGTATCATACATAGTGTCTAGCATATTTTGTCCTTCAGGCTCCCCTATTAAAAAGAACAAGGTTTCTTAACTCTTTGGCAATCTGGAAAGCTTATGGACCCCTTCTTTGAATGTTTTTAAATGTATAAATTAAAATACATTAGATTACAAAGGAAATCATTTATATTGAAATAGTTATCAAAAAAGTTCACAGACCCTAGATTAAGAACCCCTGACAGAATGCCTCTGTCTATCTATCTACTTACCTTTATTCTTATTGTCTCAGTAGTTATGTGTTTATGTATCTGTAATTTAACCAATATGAGTACTTTCTTTTTGGTAGGAAATAGATAGTCTTTAAGAGTTCCTCTGCTCCCAAAATTCATTAGCAAGCCTGGTGATGGGCCCCTCTAAACTTAATGTGGTCAGTCTAGTTGACTGACATACAGTACTTCAGTGGGTTCACATATGGGGCATTTCCAGCTTGGCAGGATCTGTCAAGCTTATACTCTATTGGCCTAGCCCTTGAGAACCCAGAATTAACATTATACTGTGATGGATCATTACAATAACACTTTACAAATGGAGGACATACAGATATTTCTACAGATATTTACATGACATTATTGACCTTCGTTTTCCAACTAACATATTGTAGGTCAGATCTCTGCAAATGTTCAGAGGAAAACTCTATAATCCTTTGTGTAATTGTTAGAAATGAGGCCTTAGAGACCCTCAGAGCAGAGTGGAGGCTTAAGCCCTGGCGAGCTGTCACAGCCAATTGCCCCTCTGTTGTATGACTCTGAGAAATCAAGCCTTCTAGTCAAAAATGAAACTAAGCTCGGAGTGAGTGAAGAATTGTGTATTATGGTTCTTGCAAGAAGTGGGCATAACTCCTGGAAGAGAGTGCCTGAATACAGAAGCGAGAGAAAGGTTTATACTGTTAGAACGCTGCGACTCCTGCCTTCTAGGCCCAGAATGGTCTGTTCCTTTCCAGGTTACAATCTTCCTGGTCTGCCCATCCCATGTTTCCCCTTGACATGTCTCCCCCTCCTTTGTCATATGATGCATTATCAGTTAATGAGGCTCTAATTCTATTCGGGGTGTGTCAATTAATATTATATCACCTCATTAAGCACGCACAGTTCTAAAAGCCTGTGCCCTTTGTCCTACTGATGGTTGGTTAAAACCGGTTCTGCCCTCTAGAATGAAAAACAGGAACTTTGGAGTCTATTTCAAAAGACTAGGGCCCTTCTCTAGGCTTGCTCTTTCCCTTGTTTTCCTGTTTTTGCAAGATTTTGCAAGCTTGTTAAAACAATGTAACTTGTTATTACCAAATTCTTTGCTGATATTGTAAAATGTCAGAGGTTATCTTAAATTGTGGGAGCATGTATACTGTCATTGTGGTGGCATTTGGGGGCAGCATTGCCAGATATTTGAGAAGGAAAGCAATGTTATTAGAGCCAGTAAAATTAATGTGTTAATATGGTCAGCCTTTGCACCTTCAAATAATTTGGTGTGCAAAAAGAATGAAAATAAAACTCAGGTGATCTTCCAGGATGGCTTTGTGTCTCTTCCCTGGAGCACCAACCCTCTGAGAATAAATTAAAGGGGGGTGTGTGTGTGTGTGTGTGTGTGTGTGTGTGTGTGTGTGTGTTTCCCTTCCTTGGTGACTGATATCTTATGAAAGCACCTATTGCCATATTCATGAAACAAGAAGTCAGTATTATAGTAAGGATTCTGTCTGTGATGAGAAGGCTTTTCAGCGAGAGGTTCAGCTACATTTCTGATATGGTGCTAGTTCCCAGTCTGTGCTCCATTAACCTAAGGATATGTTTTGGAGCACAAACATGATCAGAGCAGTATATTGGTATGATTATTTGGATAGTGGTATGGTAAATGGCTTAGAGAGGGAATGGACAACTAGACAGCTCTTACAATTCTTTATGTGACAAGAGATGATGAAGGGCTGTAAGGAGAGTGAAAAAGGGGACCGGCTATAGGAGATGTTGCTAATATAGAAATGCTAGGATTTAGCAACTGAATTCTTCCCTCCAAAATAAGCACCTCTATCTAATTTCTCTATTTCTGATGGCATCATTATCTTCCCAGTTGTCCAGCTTTGTATCTCAGTCATCTTTGGCTCTTCCCCTAAATCATTTGCCAAGTTCTGCTGACTCAAAGAATCTCCATTGCCATCTCCTGCCTGAACTGGAATTCCTACCACAATATCCCAAACAAAAGATAATACAGCATCTACTTTCTCTAGATAGAGAGCTTTTACTTCCCATGTTCCATTCTGGACAGCTGTAATGATTAGGAAAAGTCAAATTTCAACTCCCCAGAGCTCCCACCAATTGCTTAATTGCCTTTGGAAGCAAGCGGAAAGGGCTCATTTATCTTCCATATGAAAATTTTTCGTGCATTTAACAACAGCTATCATGGAAAGTCTACCTATGCAATATCTTTTGCCACAATACACTCCTTTAAACCTCACACTGCAGCTACCCTAGTTCCTTCAATCATTACTATGGTTACTATGTGCCAGACTGTATGGTAAGTTCTGGGAATACAAAGGAAGGCCCTCCAAGTCTCTGCTTTTAAAGGGTTTACATTCTAATGGGGAAGTGAACACATAAACACATATTTAGAGGATACAGACAGAGTAGGTGGCTTTCATTTCTTAGACTCAGGTCACCCAACTGGTCTTCCACCTTGAATCTATCCTTTCTCCTCTATGCCCACATCACACTACTGCTGGAAGAGATCTCTCTCTGCTCAAAGTTCTTTCTCATTTCACCTGGACCTCTACTTTGCTCTTATTCAATTTTCCCCATATTATAGTTATTTATGTAGGTCTCCCATTAGATTGTAAGCTCCTTGAATACACTGTCTCTCTCCTTCCACTTCCAATATTCAGTGGACAGCATTCATACAATAAGTACTTAATAAATGTTTATCAAGTTGAATATTGATCTGGGACATTTTCCTTGACATGGCTGTATGTCACTCAGGGAAATAATTTTAGGGACCATCACTGTGGCCACACTGTATATGGCTTGCATTGCTCCCCATGGATTATTAAAGCATAAGGTGAAAAGAGAAAGCCTTTCCAATCCCACAGTGGGGACAGTGATCTCAATTGCAGTTAAAAAATCATAAGTTAGAAAATTATAAAGTACAGGAAAAAGGTCAGAGTGTCCTAAAAGATTCAAAGAAGGTTCAAGCTCTAAGGTATTCTTCCATCTATAATTATGTGAGAGTCAGGTAAGGGTTAAGTTTCCACAAAGATAGAATAGTGCTGGGAGGGAATTGTGAGAATCAGGCAAGGGATAGGTTTTCATAAGGGACAAGGTATATACAATACAGTAGTACACTGTTTGGTACTGTCCACTGTGCCAAGTGCTGAAATAGTCTGTTATTCTTAGTTTCGCAATGGCTGATGACCATGATACCTATGGCTTTTTTTTTTTTTTTTTTTTTGCTGACATGCTAATATTTTCCCCTGCCCATTTCCTGGGAAGGGTGTGTTATTTGGCTTTTATATTTCATAGACTAAACACGTCCCAAAGCCTTCCTTTGCAGAGGGCTCACAACCTTCCTGGTTACTCCATTTCCCATCAGCTGCTCTGCTTGGCTTTGACTCCACAGAACAACATGGCCCCTGGTGGCCTTCCTCCCCCCTTTTTTATCTCCTCTCCTGTGAGAACTAGCTTACCAGGAAAGGCGTGGTTCTTCCTCCATCTGTTGGTGTGTATGGAAGGATGAGTCTCTTGGTTGCTAACATCTGCCCATTGCTCCTTGGTTACCCTCTCTAGCATCAGTGAGTTCACACAAAAATAACCTTGCATTGCATATATCAGTCCTCTTATATTAAATACTCAAAATAATTACAGAAATAACTATGTATCTTCTTGTTCTTCTCTTGAAGGACTGGTTAGTGCTCAGGGCCACTACAAATGTCCAGGATGGAAGGCTTCTCACTCTTGTACTTTGATTTTTTTTTTTGCTACTACCCCATCTGGATCAGAGGCTTGAAATTAAACAAGCTATTGTATTTTTCTTTTCACCCTTCTCTCCCGGAATAACTTAGACTCTACTTACTGTAGTAAAGTCTTGAGCAGAATTGAAGTTCTCTGGGCCAGTGCCAGGGAGAGTCTGTTGACCCAAATTTTACTAAAAGCAGCAGATGCACTGTCAGAACCATGTAGCCTGAACACTATTCCTGTGGAAGCCATGTGGACCACCCCCAAATTTTTCTGGCTTGAGGGATCCCTCTGACATATCAGTTGAATTTTTTCTTGCCAAACTAAGTCTTCTTTCAAAGATCTCCCTTCTGCTATAACCATTTGTTCCAGAATGCTTTTAATATGGAGTAGCACAAACCCTTCACCATTATACTGTGGGTGAAAGTTTCTGAGACCCTAGAATCAGTGAGACATTGTAACCCATCTCATTTCCTCTGGTTCC